ACCAATAAACACAGGTTAGTAACAAAATGACATCTCACCGTGTTGCATTTGGTCCCACACACCACCTGCCTGTGGTTGAGCCACTGTGAAGCAAACACCTTGTTGAGTCGCCCCAGAGAGAACTCCCTCTCCTTGAGGATACCAGGGAGCCTGCCGGCTGCAAAGCCCCGTAGGCTCCGCTGGAGCCGCAACTCATGCTGCTGTTGAGGCCTGAACTCCCGCCCCCGGAGGGCACATACCACGGAGCGCCGACTGCACCACCACTGCTGGGCATGACGTGATGAAGAAGAAACACGGCTCCGCTTGTGTGGTGCCTGACACCAGCCCAGCTGTGGAAAGAGAGGGAAAAAAAAGGTCAAGCGTCTTAAGATTTTCTGTGGGAAAAGCACATGACTCTTGTCAAGACCAAAATGTCCCAGAGACTATCAAGAATTGTGTTTTACATAAAATTATGGAGATGTGAGTTCATTAATGAGATGAATAAAAAAATCTAATAAGGCTTAAAATAATATGATCGAACTGCATCACATCTTTTTCTTGTTCAGCTTCCCTCCCTCGTTCAACATCAGAAACTGTGTGTGATGAGCCCTACCCATCCCCCAGCAGACTGTGGACACATCTCTGGAGCTCACTGGTACAGATTTAAAAGCCTTAGTGGATCATGGGAGTATTACATCAAAAACACACACATGCACACCAACCAGGCTGGGTCAATACAAGCCTAGTGAAAACAAAGGCACTGAACTTGATACATCTCACTCAGGTATTCTAATATAATTTTCTGTCTACAATAAAGATACAGACTATACCTATTGTTAGTCAGTAGACCCCATAAGACTACGAGACTGCACGGTCACTGGTCAGGAACACAACAAGATTGCTGTCTGTCTCTAATGCACTCACACACCTTTAAAGGTTTAGCTACCAGGGAAGTCCCATGATATGATTTCAACACTTTTATTTACTAAATGAGATTGAAGACAAATTATGACTGGAAAAAAAATAGTTTTTTTCTTAGACAAAAACCTACACAATATTTTCTTTTTCAAATTATAGAATATTTTTTTTATTTGTGGAGGTATGGCATAAACTATGTAAAACAATGCATATTTACTTTTCTTTGTAAAAGTGAAACTTAAGTCTTATACCACGATTGATATCACAATTCATCTCACCGATTTTAATCTTCACACACTGTATTTGTATTTTGATTTTCATAATTGTTACATTCCTAGAAGCATCTGATTTTACAATACATTACAATAACATTAAAAATATTACTGGACTGATTATCTATTGTGTTGTTACTAATATGGGCTCGTCATAATTTATACACACTGTAAATTGTGTCCTGGGCCACAGGAAAAACATACAAATAGTATTTATATTCGGTGGATCTCAAATAAACCTGTGGTGCTATCTGCTGTCTTTTTTTGATAGTTTTGTCTGATGTGATTAATTAACTATTAAAAACAGCTCTGTTAATATAGACGTGGTTTAATTAATTCTACTGGTGAAGGAAGGGCGGCCAGATGCCAGAGACAAGTCTATATATTGTTGATAAACAATACAGTAAGAGCAGATCGTAACGTTACAATATTATAATGCACAGCTAGTGATCCTGCAACCAGTTACAAGTTTAAGTCAAAGCATCTTTTATAGCGTCAACCACTGGATTTTATGGGAAAGATGTTCGCGCAGAATAGCAATGCTGTCAGCAAAGGTCCATTTCATTATCACGGACGAGTCGATCTGCGGTTAGTCTGAATAAAGGTTAGCTAGCTAACTGTTAGTTAACGTTACTGTTGACGTTAGCTACAATAGCTAGCTACACCGATGCCTAATAACTAGCTAACGTACTCCGAGGCAAAGCAGTTTTCAGTGATAATGGACGTTATTCTAACGTTAGATGGTGAGTAAGGGTGACAAGTGATGACCCCCAATCTAACGAGGGCCTGTCAGTGTTATCTACCAGTGAAAATGTTATTTAAACGTGAATTAAATAAAAGCCCTAATAAGATGCGGTAGCTAGCCCTTTGGCTAACGTTAACCTAGTCGTCGTATTGACAACGGACTGCCGTTGGCTAGCGCCATGGTAACATTAGCAGGTACTGACTTTCAAACACAAACACAATGTAACTTAACGTTAGTATCGTTTAAACAAGACAGCCATCGTCGTGTTGTGTCCATGTTTGTCAATACAATGTAAAATGATAATCTGTTAAAATGTCATAAATATGTTGCCTCTGACAGACCTTAACGTTAGCTTAGACCAGCTAAACCTAGCTAGCCTAATGCTAGTTAGCATGCTAACATAACTGACACCCTAGCTAATATGGATCCACACCGGTTTCCGCCTACCTGTTGTTGGTCCTTGGGCTCTCCTGCCTTCCTTTTCCTGCTAACTGTTTTTCTCGCCATAATCTGATACACACAGTTCCCTCACCCACATGGAGGGTAAAAGTGACGCTGGACACTGGATCATATAATGGCGATATGCTATTTTGTTCCTTGGCCCTCGCTGGCAGCGTCCGACGAGGAGGAAGGGCGATCACATACGGGAGAGGTTGGTTAGTCGCTGGTTATGATTGTCGTTGAATTACTGTCTCAGCCTCCCAAATACTACTACACTCAAGCCGTACAGCCTATTCCTGTTCGACAGAGTCGGTAGCCACTGCCAGAGGGTTTACACACTCTTTTCCCCTGCCAAGTCGCGTCAGCAACGGCGAAAGCATTGAGCAGCGCGCAGCCGCACTCAAATTAAACATCAACAAAAACAAGGTCGTACGTGAACGCGGGCGTCGTGCGTGCTCGTTCACGCCAACTGCGTGAGGCCATTGATCAGATGATATTGATCTCTCTGAATGATCTTGTTTCAGTGACAAATTTTCACCATTCATACAATTGAACCATTTTATAATACAAATCGTATCATATGATGGTGTAAGTTTAATATACACGAATATACATGTAATAATAGAAAGCTTTTCATTTTAGGCAATATATACATAGTCAAATTATATTATCAAAGGTTTCTGCTCTCTTAAAAATTATATGATTTACAAAAATAATTTAAATATGACTACTTAAATATTATTTTCTTGGGCTGTGCTCTGTCTTTTATTTATGTCCACATCCCTGTTTTTTTTTTATAATTGTTAACTGTGAACATTGAGGACTTCTAGTAGCCACATGTATAATCCAAGGCTAAAGGGAAGAAATCATACACCTCCTCAACATTATAAATTCCCCAGAGAGTTGGCATACTGGATTTTTCTGAAAATGGCCATTATTTGTATGAGCACAAAGACATGGTTGAAATGGAGATCTGAAATCACACAGGTGGCTCGGCACTATGTAGGACCTTAACTCAGATCCGTTAACTGACTTTAGACATGACTTTGTAAACTTAACCCTGGTGAGCTCAGGCAGGCCAAGTATGGCCTGTATTCTGATGCATAATCGCCTTTTTTTCTGCTGAGTAGGCCACACAGTTGGATGTTTCCAGTCGCCAGTGACAATACCTGGATGGACAATCATCTGTATTGTTGCTGTCTTGTCAACTGAACAGAGGGAATAAAAATGCATTTGCTGTTGAGGAGAGAAAACAAGAAGCAAGAGAGTTGCACTTCCTCACCAGCTTCATTTCACACACACAAGCAACGATCAACAGTCTCACCACTGAAAAAATGTGCACATTTAATTGTGTGGATTTTTCAAATCATTCAAGAAATTGAACATTTTGCAAATCACATTTCAGGAGCATGGGAAAGAACACTCATCTCATCCACCTTTTATTATACCATTAAGATATTTCAATGTTAGCGCCCCATGTTGAATTACGTGGTAACCTAGAAGTGTATCCGATATATAAACCCTTAGACATGATGCCCTAAATAATGAGAACCTAGTTGCAATTCATCCCCACATAGCTAGAAGATCGTAACAGGAATGGAAGGAGGAGGCCTGGAACCTGCAATGCTGTATTCACCCCGACTTGTGAGGCAAGTGGACATCAACTTGGTTTATGTAAAGTTACCACACTTGAGTTATGTAAGGCGACAATAATACCACTTGTGAGTTTGTCTGTAAAGTAAGTGTACCATTCTTCTTTATCACAGTAAATCAAGAAGGAAGGCCATTAAAACTGGGTGAAAACACTTATTTGCTGATCATGTCAACCACATATCAGACAAAACGCTGACTCAAACTTAAATAACAACAATAGGTCTAACATGGCACCTTGTTTATGTCATGTTATTTGCCTGCACCAGGCACTGTCCTAACCAAAAATAGAGCAAAAGTGAATTGAAGAACAGATTCATATTCATCATGATGTGTGTGTCACTGGGCTGTTCATTGTTTTTGGGATGATTGCAAGTTTGTTGCAAACATGCATAAGGTGGTTTGTTTACTGCAAGCATGTGCTCAATCTTCTGGTTTCAGTGGTACTGTATATTCTGCAGACACTAGGTTGCAAATATTTTCTATTAAACAATATGTCTGTATTGGCAACAAACTGCAGTAGAAATATATTTGTCAAACCCAGAGTTGTTCAAAAAATTGATTGGTGGTTAGTAAGTTTCTTTTTGAGATTGTGGAACATAGGACAAAGTACTGGACCTGTCCCAAGCAAAGAGCCAGTTCTACCAGTCCCACTTTGCTAAATTTAAGCCCTTAATCTGTTACCATGCCTCTCACAATCCCCATCACTGACACAGAGCTCAAGATTATGTAAATTTCTGCCATCATAGACCTCAGTGCAACTGAGGGGATGTGCTTTTTAAACATATGTAGCATGGAACTTAGGAGGTCCATTAACACAAACTATGGAAATAAAGGATCCTGGCCTTCTTTTATACAATAACACCCATTCAACAGATGGGAAAATTATTTTGACATGTGGTGAGTGAACCTTTTTTAACTCTCTATTTAAGTTAACACCTAAAATGAAGATGAACGCTCATTTCATTTTTCACAAGAAAAAAACAGTGGACAAGTCAACAAACAAAAGTCATGTTTGATTAGATTGGTATGAAATGCAGTAACAGAGAATAAATGATAGAAATCAAACCTTTACATCCAAATTTCCAGCAAGGCTTGAAGACCGTTCGTTATCTCCCAACAATTACTTGAGGCTCAAAGTGCCAGTCAACAGTCACACAATATGAAATGTCTCTATTGCACTGTGATGTGGCTGCAGAAAACAACCCTCACTTACATTTTTTTTTTAACCACTCACTCTTTTCCAGTCTGCAAAGTCTATGACAGTTAAAAGAGAGTTAACATATCTTACATTATCATATCAAACTCTTTATCTTTAAATGAAAGTGTCAGTGTACTAAATTAAATGCATCTGTGCAGTATGTGACACATCAGTGCCAGTGGGTTTTGGGATTTCTTATCATTTCCTGCACAGAAACTTTCCCCACTCCTTTAACAGGCCATTCCAGTGCAGGTCAAAGAGCATACTGGGGCAGTAGTATCTTATGTTGTGAGTTATAATGACTAAGGAGCTATTATGCAGTTCCCAAACCAGAAAGCAAATAAATGGAATCTTCAAACTGAAAAAGTGCCAAAAATGAACAGAAAAACAGACGAATGAAAGAATAAAGAAGAACAGAACTAGGCGCAGGGCACCAGAGCAGAGAGGGCACTTCTTGAGAGTCAGTAATCTGTCTGGCGACTGGGCCTTCTCTTTTTTGACTTTTAATATTAGTTTGTTCTTTTTTTTTTTTTTTTTTTTTTTTTTAAGAGAGCCTCCTCAAGGCCCCCAATCCCCTCCACCATTTACTAGGTCTGCACTGAGCAGTGGAAGATGGCAGCTTGGTTGTTTGTGAGTTTCAAGAGTTCAAATTAGTCTTTCTCTGATGCACTCAGGGCTCCCCATTTGGTCCTGCTGCTTTGCCTGCAGTCAGATAAACACTTCCAAGTGGAAGCAAATCAGTACGGCACCAAAACGCCACAGCCCAGTTCTTCAAGCTTCTTCTTTCCAACTCAGGCATTCTTCCCATTCTTAAATACCCTACCAGTATCAAATCCTGGAACCAAACCCCAGAATTTGTTGGAAAAGAACACCACCATGAAGTATGGTTACACTTTGACCCCCTCCACTCTAGGCACACAGTCTTTAAGAAGTGCTGAGACACAATACGTTTTAGCACAGAGAGAAATACAACGGTCTCCCAGCTGTCCCTTCCACAGCCAAGGCAAGGGCAGGGCATGGTGTGACAGGGTAGGCAGAAAGAAAGGGGCTGTGTTGGGTAGTAGCGGGAGGTAAGCCCTGGGCAGGGCTTTGGTTGGCTGGTTAGCTTGGCTCAGCTAGCTGCAGCCCGAGCCATCAGGTCCTCTAAAGCCTTGTCCTGATCATTGTTGTGGACCAGCAGCACTTCTTTGATGGCATCCCGCTCAAATCCCATTTCGCCAAATCTTGACATTAGTTCAAGGAACTGCAAGGCCTGGGAGGGATGAAAGAAAAAAAAAAAATAACTATAAATTATATGATCTATTAATGTAACCTACAGAGTTTGGCTAAATTATTAAAAAGGCGGTCTAATGCACAGGTATCACTCAAACAATTACTGTTCTTAATATGTGCATTTTCTTTTACATATTGTACAAACCTTTTCCTCTGAGCACTGGTACATCTCTAAACATTCCTCCACTGCACTTGCATCAAAGCCCCGCTCACACAGACGTCCATGGACAAACAGATAGTCCAGTACCTGAGACAAACAGTAAATACGTCCATTATGTGTCTGAAAATCACAGTCTTAAATTAGGCACTGCATAAAAGACAAATAAACCAAAATAAGGCTTCTAGTTTTTATTTTGAGAATAAGAACAATAAAAGATTATATTGTGGGTTGAAATTAATCCGTGTTAATGTTCAGTAGGGTTTATTGTCCTCATTATGCTGTATGTGCCTTATATCTTATATGTTGGTGATTCCCAATGCTAGTTCATCATTTAAAACCAGCTGGTTTACCAATTCAATAGGATCCGTTATATTTAGCTTTTATTTCGTATCCCACATCTACTGCTATGGCGACCATAATCCTGTGACTATGGTTGGATAGGTCATATTGTTTAGTATTAGCTGTACAGATCACAGACACGTATCTATTGCCATAACTTTAGAGACAACATACAGTGTGATTTAACAACTTTATTTCAATTTAAGGCTATTTATACAGGTGTACAGCACTGATGCTCCACTGAACACAATTACAAGAGCACACAAAAAATGAACAGTGAATAAGCTAGGAATCCAAATTTCTGTGCATTGGAGTGAGAGGGAGTCGCACCTGCTCCACGTTCTGCCCTTGTCTCTGCATGGCACGTAGGACACCCTCATAAGAGTAGCCCATGCCCACAAGGGTTTCCACACACTGACGTTCACTGGGGGTCATGCTGAGCAGGGCTCCGCCACACGGCAGACCAGCAGATCCTGATCCTGGATTGGCCTAAAATGAGTGAATGTCAGGTTACTGAGATTCCTTATCTACCATCACTTGTTAATCTACAGTACTATGTCTCACACAAATTAAGAACACTTTAAGTCAGGTATATAAATCAGTGTGTAATCTCATGCTCACCAGTTTTGGTGCACCACTCTTGGTGTGGCTGGGTGGCTCAGGGGCAACAATAACTTGCGTCTTCTGTATGGTTGGTGGGCTGCCATTGGGTAGGCTTTGTCGGGGAGCAGGGATTGGGCTGTACCTCACTGGTTCTGGGTCACCAGAATCAGAGAGCTTAGGAAAAGTGAGAGATCGGATATTACAGGGTCGATCATCTGTGTCAAACCCTGTTCTTCCAGGGTGAGCAACTCTGTCCATGTCCAGCAAGGCAACCAACCCATTGGGTTTATGGGTAAAGCCAGGTTTAGCTGTGAGGCTGGTGTTGGTGCTGGGAGGTGACGGGCTGTTTCCACGTGATGCTGACCCACTCTGGGAGACCTCTGGTGGGGATACAGAAGGAGTAGGTTGAGGTTGGGGCTGGCTCTGGAGGATGTTCCTGAGCTCTTCCTTATCGTCCAAGGTTTTGAGCTCCAGCTTGTCAAAGGGGTCCTCTTCCCGCTCAAAGTCAGCTAGGTTGAGGCTGTGCAGCTGGGGAATGCTAGGCTGGGTTTTCCTGGGGCCAAGGCTCGGGGCAGGCAGTGGAGTGAGGATGGCGTTATGGCTCAGCCCCGCCAGGACGGGGTTCAATGCCGGTGGTAGAAGGTCCTGGTCCTCTGCAGCAGACCGGGCTCTCTTTCCTCCACCACCATCAATGTCCTGGGCCTTTGCCAAACACTCCCTGCTCTCTGCCTCCTGCTTGGCTGCGGCCTCCTCTGCTCTGGCCTCTGCTGCTCTGGCCTCAGCCAGTTCAACCCCCCAGCGCACACTACGTCTCTCCAGAGAAAAGTCATACTGTTGAGTAAGAGGAACAATGAGCGTGATGAGTGATAATAGAGAAAATGAGAATAGAAAGTATAAGAGCCAAATCATATTACAACTCAAGCTCAACAGATGAAACGTGTAGCTTATAATTTTAATAAACTCAAAATAGCCAATTGTCCCCCCACTGACAGCATGTGCTTGACTACCCCTCTCCATCTAAATTACTATAAGTGGAGTCTTCTAAAAATGTGACATTTGACCAAAAACATAACATTGATACAGCAGTACAGAGGGCGTGGTCCATAATATGGTAGGTCAGCATGATTGATCAGTGCAGGTAAGTGCAGCATACCACAGCCAACACCTGTGCAAAATCTACATCTTTCTTGTACCTGACTAACCTGTGTGTCCACGAGCAAAGAGCTGCAGTCTGGCAGACAGAAACCGACAGGCAGCCCCACTTTGGCTGGGCAACGGAATTTTTCATTGACCTTGAAGGGGACGTCATCAAGGTAGCTAATGGGTCCTGTGAACAAAAAACAAAAGTAAGAGTACATTAGAGGAATAGAGACTGGAACTACAGCAAACCTTTAACATGACTCACAACTTAAAACATTAGTGTAGTCATACACACAGTGGAACAAAAAAGTATCAAATATAGGCCCTCACCATTGTTGTATGCATCTGATCCAGACTTCCTCGCAGCCATTTAGAGACTCTGAGAGAGAAAGAGAGAGAAAGTTGATAATTATAAGCCATAGGTCAATGTATCTTAAAAAACACACTATGGTGCAAAAGTGTAAAAATAGCCCAACACAGATTTCCCTGACCCCCTTCAATCTGCCTTCAGGCGTGACGTTTTTTCTGACAAAGCAGTTTCTGATAATTACGGGACATCTTTCACTGAGCTCAGAAATTGGTGCTAACAGTTTTAATCAAAGCATGAGAGCAACAAAACACTTTATCACATGGTAGTGCAAATTTGTCCGTTCTATTCAAACAGAAATTCTTCATTATCCCATTGGCTTTGTATATTCTGCTGCTCTGCATCTCAAGTCACATAATCCCATTATTTGGTCAAGCCGGGCAACAATGCCTGATGTTATCAACACAGAGAAGTTACTGTTTTCACATACACTGAACACAGAGTTCTGATCTGTGTGCTGGTGTTCAGTAGAAAAAGTTCACAATTTGATCCACTTACCCAGCCGAAAGGGGCTGATTTGTTAGTAAAAAAGAACTTAAAGCATTATTAAATTAAATTTAAAATAAACACTGAATCAAATGCTCACTGATATATGATCAGTTTGCTCGTACGGTCAACACCACTGAAAACACAAAACCTGACTCTAGAGCCCTTTTCACATTTCAGCTCTTTGCTTTTGTGTATTTGACCATTTGATTAAATCCCAATCTCAACAATCCCCCATATGAGACTATAGCCAGCCATTTATACAAAACAAACTCACACAAGCCAACCGTACACTACCCACCCAGCAAAGCAAAATAGCACTGAGACTGAAAAAAGAAAATGGCTGGTGAAGAAATTTGAACATCTGGCAAGCCAAAGACAGACAGATCATTTTCTCAAGAATATGTGAGCTCAAACTAGTGCTCAAAAAAGGAAAGTGGATATTGGTTTTGGATTTACATGACTGCAGCAGGATGACTGGGTTGCCCGGTGTCTACTGGAAATGAGACAGGTTACTTACACATATATGCTTATTGCTATAAGCAACTGATAATCAAAAATAAAACTGATAATCAAATACTATAATGCTGCTCTGGTTTAGTGAGTTTAATTTGTAGTCTATCTGCACCACCAGCAGCATTATTAATGATTGAAATTATTAAACATTAATATAGTCTCATATATAAATATCATGTTCACTAAATTACAGAAGAGACCAATAGTTAGACCATAGACCTTGGACCAATAATGTGTGTCTGAGCACCCTAAAAGCTTGGTATTGGACACAAAGGCCATGAGATCTGTCAGTCACTACTGGGAATATTGGTTCATTAAGTGCCCTATACTGAAAATATATAAACAATCAACAGTACACAGTAGTCACCAGTAATGCACTGTAAACCGGTAGGCCCCAGACTACGATGAGAGTGATCAGAGGCACACATGTCTAAAACCAATTTAAAAACACATCAAACCTACATAAAAATGCAACTTACATGCAGGTTACTTGTACTACACTAACTTGGAAGCTGTACACTGTACATTACCCCCAGCTCTGAGTTGAGTCTTTACACAAGATCATGTGTGGAAATGGGCCACACATGATCAGCAGGCATCTCGTGGTCAGGAGGCATTTCTTCATATCATATTTCTTATCTGATAGTAGGGTTAATTCCGTTGTTACACTATAGCTAGTAGCTACTGAGACACAATGTTATGTAACACAAGTTGGTTGTTGTTTTCGGTAGCTGTTTAAACGACTCACAGTTAAGAGTACAGTTACGTCGAGTTAGCATTAATACTCCCGACTGATTGGCGACATTCAGAACAGCACCGACAACTTGCCAACGTAGTTTAAATGATGTTAGCTAATTTAGAGAACTGCCACTAACTTAAAACGATAACGAAAGGGTCGCAGTAACTGTGGTTCATTACATTGTAAGGCACCTTTATTATAAAACAGTAATACGTCTGCTAGAAATACTGCGAGCCATAGCTGTCACGTAAGGGTCGCAATATCGCTAGCAGACGTGTTGAAGTGCAATAAATGAATTAGCTGTTAAGTTCTGATAGGGTTAATTAGCAACGAGCTAAGCTATTACTATCTTTGGTTACTTATTGCTCAACACGCTAACAGCGGACATTGTGTGACAGATTAGCTACGAAGTTAGTGTGGGATATGACATTAGTTGGTATTAGCGGGAAACTACGGTCGAATAAATGAATTCACTGACAATTACCACAAGCAGCTGGCTTATGTTTGTGGGGAAAGGCTAAGGTACATGCTAATACGCTTAGCTCCGCCAGTGGCCTGTGTGTGCCGATATGATAGACCGCTGTCTCTGCTGCCACCGCCCCTAAAACTAACCTGAGCCCGCGTATGAACACACGCTGCTCTCACCTGAATCTGCTCCGTCTTGTCCTCTCAAAATCCAAACGACGTCTAGTCGAGGTGGCACGAAATTAAACTCTTCTCCGAATGAGTTTTATTTATGACATCTCTTTCCTGCTCCAGCGTGGGACGCCATCTTGATTTGTCAAGCTCTCTTCCACTGGTTCCTGTGTGACGTCACTCACCTACCTGACGTCAGAGCATCGCAACGTTCCATCCAGCTGCGCGAGGCGATGGTGCTGCCATACCGGTTGTTGCTTCAAAGTATCCACGTCAAGTGTTGTTATTTCTCACAATGTCATTAACATTGTTGTAAACATGGTTATGTCTGTGGTTGTGTTATTTATTTATCTTTTAAATGGCCACAATTAACAACCTGACCAAGTCCTCAACGTGTCTGATTATAAGACTCAGAGAGCAACATCTTCTAGTCCCAATTCTGAACCAAAACTAGATGATACATGTCATTATCTCATTCATTTCTGACATTAAGAGAGTTTTATAGTGGTCAAATTTAAAATACCAACTGTCAAACTATCAAAATACCTTTATTTGTGTCGAAATGACAGCAGTGACAGACACTAAATGATGTAGTCAATTAGGCTATAAAGATAATGCAGCATGGGATTACTAAAACTAATCTATTCAGATAAGCAACAATGTCTGTCCAAACTGAGAACTGGGGTGATAGCAGCATATGTCACACATAAGTGTTGAACTGTTGCATGAATAAAAAGCACAAATACCATTATAACACTTGTCTACATTACTTAGTTTATTTTTTTTTTAAACCCACACAATTGTAAAATATAGTGAAATGTAGGACTACATAAAGTACCTGTTGTAAAATTAATTTATTTAGGCATCTTTACAAAATAATATGACATCTCTTTGACATCACTGTGAACTGGTACATTTTTGCACATTCCTGCGCAAAACTTTACAGTTATTTCATGTTAAAATATACAGTACTTTTCATTATATCTTTTAACTCCATTGTTAATTTTTAATTTGCTTGTTATCTTTTCATTTCCCTCTCACTGTTACTCTACACAAAGACAAATTCCTTGTATGTAAAAACTTGGCAATAAATCTGATCTCTGAAGTAACCATGGACCTATTTTACGTCAAACTTCAAAAATAAGCCCAATTTAAATGAGAAGAAATATGAAATGAAAGCTGTCATTGTGCTGTTTTACCATTTAGCTGATCAGTAAAGTGTTGCTAATGGAAACACATAAAGGTAATCGTTTTATTTACTAATTTGACATGGTTACGGGTAATGGTAGCAACCTTTGAAAACCTCTAAAATATATATGTAACATACACATTTGTGAATGTATTGAACTTTTGTTTATTTTTGTTTAATGTGTTGCACAGAATCGAGTGCGCGCACGTCACGTTCGGAGCCGTACGTGCTTTACGTTCTGCAGACACGCGCAATGATAGCCGGAAGCACCGATGGGAGGAAAATAAAAATCGATGAAATTCACTGTTATTCGCGAGTGTAAACCTTTCACTTACTGTCCTTTTCGCGACGTAGGCTCGAATTTATTAGCCACTTCCGCTGCCACTGTGCCGGAGGGGACGGCACAGCACAGGAAAGCTGCAGCTTTTGAACGAAGTTGCTCGGTAGGGGTTTAGCTGACGTGTGGAGAAGTTGAGACTGCCAGAGAGCAGATAAACAAACATAAACAAGCAGGGATCAGCTGAGCGCCAGCCCGAACCGAACCAGCAGCACGGAGAGATGTCAGGGAGGACGAGTTTCCTCTTTTGAGCCCGAGAATGATCCACAGGAGACCGTGACTTACACTGATACTAGCTCCATGTCAACTGTCAACACTGGCACACAAAGAATTTCGGAAACACAACACGAGGACCAGCCATAGGCTTTAGCAGAAAATCCACTGTCTGTTTGTCAAGACATAGCCAGGCTAGCATGGACAGCCAATGAGTTTACCGTCCAGTTTTCAGCTGTAACGAAACGAATACATATTACAGTGCAAGGAGAGAGGTAAACACTTTTTCTTAACTTTGCTTTTTTCCCCCATAAAGGGCCTGCGAACTAAACCACTGACCTAAGCTAGCTTGGCAGGCCACATATCCTGTTTGTGTTTGAATTCTTTATGTGGCGGTCAGTTTACCAGCAGGAGTGTTTATCTATTCAGGTTAGCTGTTTCTTTTGTCCTAGCATGTTGTTCTAGAAAGACTAGTGTCAATACAAACAGAGCTAACAGACTGAAGGTGTTTGCTGCAGAGTCAACAGTAACCATGACATGTGAAATATATGACTTTTAAAGTAGGATCCTGACACTGTCATTAAGCCCATCATCTTTCTTTTCCACTCTACATTAACCCCTTACCTTTCGCTGATCTGCAGCCACTGGTGTCAGAAGTGGGATTAACATGGCCCACCAGGCGACCCCTAGTTCCCAGAAGGCCCTGATGATGGAGCTGAAGTCTCTGCAGGAGCAGCCGGTGGAGGGCTTCCGCATCACTCTGGTGGAGGAGTCTGACCTCTACAACTGGGAAGTGGCCATCTTCGGACCCCCAAACACCCTGTACGAGGGAGGCTACTTCAAGGTGGGACACAACTCTTTGGACCAAAAGGGCAGGGAATTATGAATTCACAATAGAACCTAAGACAGTTTTCTTCTTAAGTAGGATACATAGGAGATTGCTGCAACATGGAAAACTGTGATTGAACCCAGTGTGTCAGACCAAGTACAGTCTCGTTATAATGATGCAATGACCCAGCTCACCTCTACCTGCTCACAGAATTTTTCAGTTTTAATGTGTTTCGGGGCAGCCATTTATATTTCTCTAATTTGTAGTCTTTCTCCCCTGTCTCTCCGTTCTCCTTGTCCAGCCCTCTCCCCCCTCGCTGTATGATGGGTAGTGCTTCAGATGGCTATTTTTAGCTGTGAGACCGATATAAATGGCACCTCAGTACAGAGAAAGAGTAAGAGAGAAGGGCATGATGAGACTCATCTTCCTTTCTTTCATGTTACTTATTCAGTGAAACATCTAGAAAATGCGGGACAGTGAGAGCCGGCATTCAAGTTGGGGCAATGCAGATGTTGCTGTAGCCTTCCAGGAATGCAAAATAATACACAGCAGGCGTTGCTGTATTCTACCCTCGTAGCTGACCGTCGTTGATTAAGTTATGGTTTGCCTTTACAGCGACATCCTTGTGTTATCTATTGTCAACTCATATCAATTTTATTTATATAGCCTTGAATCACAAGTTTGTTTCAGAGGGTTTTTACAACATATCATATTACAATCTCTACCGTTAGACCCTGCAGTCAGATATGGAAAAATTCCACACACAAACATGGGGAAAAAAATGGGACAGACCTCAGAGAAACAGAGGAGAGATCCTTCTTTCAAGATAGACAGATGTGCAATAGTTGCCAAAAGCTGGATTTTCCAATTTAGCTAACCTGCATATCTGTAAAAGAGACATGTAACATAGAGCCTGCAGACACTTTCTAATGCAACCTTCTTGCTCTGAGGCAAATAGTACTATACTTTGGTGCAGGAGCAACTGACCTTTATTTAATGAAAGATTAGTGGAAGAGATTGACCACGGTAACTCTGTTGCTGCTGCTGCTGAACCCTTCTTGGCTCCTGTGGTGCAGTGGGTTAAAGAACATACCATGCATAGTCATGCATTTGGGACTGGGACAGGATGATTTTGTATGTGTCTGTATGTCAGTATGGTAACTGATAGAACATGGTATCTGTGTGTTTAATGTCCCAAGGCTGCCTTCATGTAGTGACTGGTTGTGTAGTAATGATAGTCCTATCTGAGTGGCAGCAGTTCAGTGAGAGCTGGGGTGGTGTTTCACACACCCAAACCTACGAGCCTTTCATCCAGATAATTGCATATTACTTTAGAAAGAAAACACAGAACCAGAACACACCCACGGTTATGTCACCTAATGTCTAGCTACATTAAAATACATTTAGAATTACTGATAACATAAATGGCAACTGCTTCATGGTGAAACTGTCTCATGGCTGAATTTGTGATATATTTTTCAAAATCAAATGAACGGGTACAGGAAGCTACTTTGTGGTTGGAGACGGGTTGTCAGTCATCTTGTGAAGCAAGACGAGGCAGTCAAGAGACCGCTTATTTTTTTTTATGCAAGATTACAGTTTGATTTGAATAGCAAACAGAAACCAACTCCTGTCTGGACATATCAAATTAATCTGTATCAAAGGCCTAGTTTAAATCAGATGTTCTTAACCTTTCTGGTTCCTGAATCATAATATTAAGTGACCAGCAACTTGCATCTCCTTGAGAGACCTGCAAAAACGTTTCACTTCATGTTTGTTTAAGGAAGTGTGAAGGAGGAATTTAATTTGCCTCACTAGAGAAAGGAAGTCTTGCAAAGATTACAAACTTAAACGTATTTTGTTTATTTAGATATATAAAGTGTATTTTTTCACATTCTGTATTTTAATGTGCTACACCAACCTCCAAAACATCAACTCACATCTCCCTGATGTCACTCCATCCTCAAGCTGAGACCCAAAGGCCCAAAGGACGTAACAGAAGTCAAGCTTGGCTGCCTGTAAAACGTGTTAACTGTCAACCTCTGTTTGTTCTCCCAGGCTCACATCAAGTTCCCAGTGGACTACCCGTACTCCCCGCCAACCTTCCGCTTCCTCACCAAGATGTGGCACCCCAACATCTACGAGGTAAAACATTTTGTGTTTGTTAATGTCTTCACACAATTCTTGTTGCCATTATCAGGCAAATTTCATTTCATTTGGCATTTATATAGTTAATCTTTATGTCTCTGTGACACATGTTATACACTGTATTTTGTTCTCTTTCCAGAACGGAGATGTGTGCATCTCCATCCTGCACCCTCCTGTTGATGACCCTCAGAGCGGCGAGCTACCCTCTGAAAGGTGGAACCCTACCCAGAACGTCAGGTAATGTCTGCCACTCAACCTCCGCTTCTATATACACTTTAATCTACTCTAGACATGCTAGCTTTTTATAACTTGTTATTTTAAATGCAATGTGGATATTTATTTAAATACTGGTTTACACTTAAATCCCAATGTGTAAGATTTAGGAGGATCTATTGGCAGAAATGAAATATAATATTCATAGTTATGTTTTTAGTTGCGGGTCCTCTTCTACGGAGTCTGCCATGTTTCTACAGTAGTCCAGAACGGGCAAATCAACACATTAAATTGTAGTTTTCGAATATGGAATGTAGGATAAGAAAAGAACAAAGAGAACCAATAAAAAGAAAAGCGTCATGTGACATACATAAATTAAAAATCAAGTGTAATTTTCCAACTGCAGATTTAGGGCAGTGTGAATGAATTAATAGTTCAGGTTTAGCATCTCTTTGTTCTGTGTAACATCTTAAGAACAAGACCACTACACTACTGCAGGGCAGCATTCAGAATTTTAATTTAATTTTAACATGTCAGCAAGACTGGTTTTGTGCTGAGTCTGTATTTGAAAACCTGAGCAGATTGGGTGCAGCATGTAATTGATGTAGCTGAGCCAACACCTCTGTCTGTGCCGGGATGAAGCTCACTACAGCTTCAAAGACAAGATATTGGATTGTCGTCATTTTCTGTTTGCGTCTAACTTTACCCTCTCGATGGTTTTTGTGTTGTTCCTTCCTCTTCAGGACTATCCTGCTTAGTGTGATCTCTCTGCTCAATGAGCCCAACACCTTCTCCCCAGCCAATGTGGATGCATCTGTCATGTTTCGCAAATGGAGGGACAGCAAAGGCAAAGACAAGGAATATGCAGAGATTATTAGGTAATACACAATACTGAGTATTTCATCCATATACAGGCATATGTGCCTGAACAGAATCTCTATTGTTGCCAGTCAAAGACAAACACTGACTTTAATTTCATTCTTATTTTGGCTCACAGGAAGCAGGTGATGTCAACAGCGGCGGAGGCAGAGCGCGATGGTGTCAAGGTGCCGACCACATTGGCGGAGTACTGCGTCCAGACCAGGGTTCCCTCCCAGGACAGCAGTTCAGACCTTCTCTATGACGACCTGTACGACGACGACATGGAGGAGGAGGACGAGGAGGAGGACGAGAGCGAGATGGAGTCCGTAGGTGAAGCCGGGGGGATCAGTGCCGCAGAGGACGGCGGGACGTCCACCAGGCGTTATGACAACCAGGACGACTCCGGCAACGAAGACTCGTGATGATCTGGATGATAACTCCTCCCTGCCAATCCCCACCCCTCCCCCAACTACCACCCTCCTTCTTTTATGTGTTATGTTAAAAGTTTCTGTTTTTGTGTATGTATGTGTGTGTGTGTGTGTGTGTGTGTGTGTGTGTGTGTGTGTGTGTGTGTGTGTGTTTTGCACATACAGTGGGGTCAAAGGTCTACTGCCAAAAACGTTTCATCATTTATTAAACTAATACAAATGATTGGTCAAATAATAGTTCTCAGATGCTATTATTAGGTTTTTAGCAAAAGTCTGTTGGTACCGTTTTCACTAAAAGTCAGAATTTGGTGTTTCCACCGTTTGCCTTAATTACAGCGTGCACTCTGTCCGGCATCAGATGTTTAGCAGAGTGTGAGGGTTGAAGTTATTCCAGCACTGTTTGAGAGCACCCATGCAGTGTTTTTGATGTTATATTATATTTCACTTTTTTTTTTTTTTTTCGGCCTTTTTTGCCTTTATTGGATAAGACAGCTGAAGATTGACAGGAAAGGGGGGAGAGAAAGCTGCAGGAAGGACTCAGCCTTGGTACACGGGGAGCCAGCTCTACCAGGTGAGCTACAGGGCGTCCCATATTTCACATTTTTAAATGTCCCCATTGAGGATCCACCCTCTTCCACACTAAACCAGAAATGATGACAGGCTTCTGCAGAATAGACGGAGTGGTGTTACTCCATGGTCAGTGTATGATTAATCATGTGCAATACACTGACTCCAGACAAGGCAAAACATCCCACCATCTGAATATTTCCATCACCATGTTTAACTTTTTATACCCTGCTGTATTACTCTTTACGCAGCCACCTCCTCATATGCTGTACTGTAAGCTGTTGGTTGCAACCATGAAGTTTCTCTTTTGTAAACAAGCGTTTCTTCATGTCTTTAACCGTGACATTTCAGTATTGTTCAACCCATGCTAAACCATTAGACTTGTTTTGCCATTAAAGAAGTGGTTTGGTAACTGCTACAGTTTGTTGGTCTTTTAACTGTAGTTTTGTCATCTGGAGTAGGACATTCTTTGTTGCTTCGGCTTTGCATCTTGGATGTAGACGCTGTCTGTCTCCTGAAGATCTTGGCTTTATACCACGGTGCCGTCTCTAGGTTGGTCTGGTCCCTGTTTCCAGCCCTTTAATCAGAGTCCAGTAGCAGTTAATTATTAAAAGATCATAGTAATCAACATTGGGTAGGGGCATACACATGTTAAGATTTGAATTATAGTACATGCATGGTGAGACAAACATCTTCATATTGTATACCAGTATTTTAATTACTTACATGCATTTCCCAAAGATAATTGGAACGTATCAATTGTGAGTAATTCTTTATTTGAAAACCTTCTGCAAAAGTAAACATATTGTCTTAGTTTTTGATAAATGATGAAAACAAACTGTCCTTGTGGTGGTCTCTTGAACCCCACTGTAGCTGGCCGGCTCTTCGCCCGGCTAGTCCATGTCAGGTTGTATGGTTTTGTGTTAAAAGATTGGCTCTACCCATCTTGTATTTTCTTGATGCTGTTTATTTGTCTACTTCTTCTTCTTTAGTTGGTTGACATCCTGTCCTCCCTGACTTGTCTGCTGTATTTCCTGGGATGGCTCAGACAGTCTCTGGCTAATGGACACTTAGCTTGTTTGGCTCATTAACAAGTCGATGAACTGGCCAGCTTGTCCATCCGTGAGTCCCAGAATATCTCTGTCCCTCTTGCACTTGTCTGTTTGTTTGACTTCGATGCAATCAACTTAAACTTGCAAACGCGGGCTTTGCCGTGACACACCCCCCCCCGGTCCTCTCTTGGACCCACCTTTAGTAGTGTCCACTGCTCCCTCATGATCCCTCAAAGCAATGTCATTTGGTCTGGGGGGTGAACAAGGTTAAGACCTTTTCTCACGTCGCCTCCTACACCTCTCTCTGCCTCTTAAACCTCAGGGCCTCAATTGACTTTCGCTGAGAGAGAAAAACCAGTGAAAGAGAAACTTAACACACAAACTGCTCCTCACCTCCACCTCCTTTTCTTACTTTCTGCATCACTGGGTGGTTTTAGAGGGCAGAGAGTGAACTGAAAGTCTCCGATCCCACCGCCAGCGTGTTTACACGTGACTGAGTGTTGCTATTGCTCCTGATTAGGGTCCTATTAAGTTGTTTTCTTCCCGGTAGGCTAGAGTCAATTTAAAAAAATCATAATACACCTGTAGGGACTTCCTCCTCGAGACAGTGCTCACATTATGTTGCAATAGGTGTGAAAATGTTAAGTTTTTTGCGACGTGACTCCAGCTTAATCGCAATTTAGTGAAAATTGGACGTTGTTACTGTGCTACACCACATCCAGAGTCTGTTTATTGACAGGGACAAAATCCACAGCTTAGCTACACATTTGCATTTGAATGAATATGACACTGATTGCCTGTTGTGTGTGTGTGTGTGTGTGTGTGTGTGTGTGTGTGTGTGTGTGTGTGTGTGTGTGTGTGTGTGTGTGTGTGTGTGTGTGTGTGTGTGTGTGTGTGTGTGTGTGTGTGTGTGCGCATATATATTTACATTTACTATTGACTACAACGTCAGGGTTTTCTTGTTCCTGTCTCTGTGGAACCGGTGCAGACTCCTGTCACACGAGTGAGTTTGCCTAAATGACCTTTTGGACTTTGTCCAGTTGAGAAAACATTCAGTGTGTTTGCACTGTGTTCTAGTGCTGTTTTGGAAGGCCTGAATTGGCTATGGATTTGACTGATTTAAAACACCCTCTGAGTATTAAACTTTTGAACACACCGAACAGCATAATGTGACTAATATTACTTGTACGGCATCAAGTAAACCACACATTTTGAGCTGTGTTTTATGATTGTGGGCATGAATCTGTTGCCCTTTTCAACACAACAGAGCACTGCGCAAACCTTTGATTCAAATGGATGGACTTTATGCCAAGGAAATTCAAGTACAGCCCCACAGCCGTTCAGAGACTTTAAAGACTATGGAGCAATGGATGCATGTGGTGGATTTACCGCTGTTTGAATAAACTCTTTAAGAGATTATTACCTTTTGGATTTTAATGTGAAGCCAAAGGAGTGAAACTTTTCCTCCTGGCCCTGTGCTTTGGAGGCTCACAGAGACAGGATCCTGTCGAGGACGGGGAGAGGATATCCACACCTGGACTGGATCTTTAATGGATTTGATACCAAGGCACAACAGGAAGTGGATAGATGCCAGAGATTGTGAATTGATTTTCTCGATGTTTTCCCCATCTTTTGCTCATCCCTCATCATATAGAGAAGAAGTAAAATTCATAGTTACCAAATGTACCAATCTCATATGTGTCTGCTAAAGGACTAGTTTAACATATTTGGAAATACACTTACCCACCTTGTGGCAGAGAGTTAGAGTTAGAAGATCTACACCACTCTAACGTCTTAAATATGAAACTAGCATGTTAGCTTAGCTTTGGACACAGACTGGAAAATTTGGGGGGGGGGGCAGCTAGTCTGGCTCTGTCAAGCAGTAGCAGAATCCGGCTGTAGCATCATATTTTACAAACAAACTTGATTGTAGTATCAATCCTTTTATCTAACTCTCCACAAGAAACAAACAAGTGTATTTCCCCACATTTTCAGCAATTCCTTTTTATATGAAACGGGTTAGCTTAGTTTAGCTGCTAGCATGGCTCCGTCCAAAGGTGACAAAACCTGCCTTCCAGCACCTTTAAAACTCACAAATTAACACATTACAATCCATTAAAAAGCCATTGTATAAAGGAAATGTGAGTAGTGTCTTGAGGTCTACCTTTGGACAGAGCCAGACAAGTTGTTTGTCTTTGTTTTCAGTCTTTGTGCTAAGCTAAGCTAACTCGCTGCTGGCATTAGTCTCATATTTAACAAAAACACATGAAAGCAGTATTAATCTTCTCATCTAACTTTCGGCAAGAAAGCAAAAAAGTGTGTTTCCCAAAATGTTGAGCACTTTCTTTAAAGCCACATTTTACTTCCCATCACAAATTTAGAAATTGGATTCAGCATTATTGTTTTTGTTAGAATAAAGTCCAAGGCATAGTGTAGCCCTTATGTTAGCAATTCAACAATCAGTTTAGAGCTCTTTAAAATCCTCTTTTTTTTATTGAAATGTATGCCTTGTTTTTATGAGTGCAGGTAGAGAAAAGCTAAGGAGGCCTTTTGAGGGAAGAGAGCAACCAACAGTTATTATCTCTGAGGGATGACGATAATTCCCAAACTCAACCTAAGAAATGACTCACTAAAAAGGTCCACAGTCTGAGATGTTGATATGTTATTTCATGCACACTATTACATACAAAAGACTGAATGAAATCATTTAGTTCATTTAATCTGTGTGTATGAGCATGTGTGTGTGCACAAGTGTGTATTTTTTGAAGTGTGGGCACACACCTAATGGACTGACCTGCGTGTGTCCACAACGCCACCACAATGTGTCCACACCTATAGCTGTTAATGCTGTCCTTGTTGGTTTTATTCTTTGATTTAAATGTCATTTTTCCCCTCATCATTTTGTGTTTGTGAGGATGCAAATGTCACTCATAAAGTTTCTATTGTAAAAACAAAAATACATTGTTGGGTTTGTTTGCAGTATAGCTTTGATATCTGTTGCTAAACCCACATGTCATGGGAAACACAGCGAGTTGGTTCTTGGAGTAAAATTAGGGGTTATATGCAAACAGGGAGCATACAGTTATTGTGGTTAAGTTGGAAAACCATTCAAAATAAAACAGTATCTCATTGAAGCCTGCTGGAAGGTTTTCACCTTATTTTGCCATTGACCACTAGTCACTACTACACGCTACATGGACTATTAGTGTGTTGTATTGGATTTATTAGTGTTGGCTCACCCAAATTACATAAAAACATATACCCAGTGGTATGTAATTGTGCATATCTTTGTCCAGATGTTGAGATATCTGTCTCTGAGATTTCTGCCAACACTGAATGGAAGTTTGTTGGTCATGCACACAAGAGTGGGGAAAAAAAGGCATTTTAAAAATTCTACCACGATATGTGTTTCATGTATTTGAGTTACTTTCTATCGAAGCAATAGTACCTATGAAACCTGTTGACAGTGTGACATTTGAGCACCACAAACATTCACCTCCATTGTACTGAGGTGGAAACAGAAACAATAAATACCTCAAATTCTGGACAAACTGAACCAAACTACCTGCACTGTTGAACACTACAAGGGTTCTTTATTCATAACTTTGGTTAACCGAACCTTTAAGGCACCTTGGTGGCCAAATGTCTGCAACATTATGGTCCATAACTGCATCCTACTTAAAGTTCATTATGCATAGAGATGACTACCTTAAATGTTTTATCATGATGAATTTTAATTCCAAACAATTAGTTGTCTTTTATCATTGGAAGAGGAGCTTTTATGCTCTACCAGGCATGAAATTAATTACTGGTTCAATGATGCCCTGATGGGTCTCAAAGCAATATTTTAGCTTTTGCTCTACGTACACTTTATAGCATACTGTGTATATCTCAAGAAAGGCACACTTTCACTGACCTCCACTTACTTTTCTCGTGTTCACTGCTGTTTCTGTATTTCCTGTTAAAATACCCAGAAGAAAAATAGCAGTTAATTGAAGTGAGTGCTTCCTCTGTGCTTCACGAGTTGAAAGAACAAATTTGTTTCGTTAATTACCCTTATTTCATCCCTTCAGCGGAAGCTATTAATGTAATCCTGCAGCATGGCGTAGAGTAGAGCATGTTCCTGTGTATAGTACAGTCTGGCAGTAGCTGCGACCAGGGTCAAGTTTCAAGTCCCACTTGAATTTCACCATTTGCTTCATCAAGCAGCCGTGTAAGATTGTTGAACAATATGAGGAGTAGTTGACTGGATTAAGAAAATAATTGAATGTTATGGTTTTGCCCAAATGACTAACACTGTCCATGCTGACTGTACATAAAGCCACTGATCTCAACCAGTCAGGGGCAGACACCACAAAAGCTCTGCCTCTTTGTAAATGTTTTCATTAGTATATTAAGGGCTATATAATATATGGTTTAGTATATTATCCCTGAAATATATTGTCAACCTGATGTTTATTGTTTATGATAATGTGTAGGCTACTTTCACCCTGAGTCATTGCATAATAATAGTCCCTCTTAAATTTTATGACCATCGTTTCTAAGATAATAAAATGATCTCCTTTACTGGCTTTTAATTTCTGGAAGCAATAGGTGTATCTCACTTTTATTTGGATGCAGAAAGCTGTTACTACAGCCTGCAGTATTTTCTAGTCTATGGCAGCCCATGTACACGTGTTGTAAAAATGTCTTGTTTTTGTCCCCACCCTGTGGCAGCATCTACTGCTTACAATTTATTTTCTTTGCTTGAGTCATTATTGCCCTAGTATTGCATACTGTCTATTCACCACAGTGAGCTCCCCTTGTATATATTTTATATTTTAACATAAGATTTTAGAAATATCCAGGTACATAACACCTGATATTTATTTGGAATAAATCTAATAAAAACAGTATTATAACAGATCCCATCTTCAGGTTTGCGCTGTTCCAGTGAGTTCCAGTGGGACTCTAGTGACACATTGATTTCTGCCTCTTTCACTAAGTTTAGAGTTTTAGTTTATTTACATTTAAAACATTAATGTATTTAATTTCATTACATTTGACACAGGCAATCAGATTTTTGTGCAGTGACTCAGATCAAATCTGTGATACAGTATTCAAACATTGATTCATTTCCTCCCTACTCACCTTTGTTTTCAAAGAAGGGAATCGACTCAGCCTTACATTATACACAGTAAAGTATTTAAAACAGAGACAGAATCATCAATCACATAAACTGCAGACACACTGTCACACTGGGTGCTCTACCAAACTAAGGTCTGAGGGTCCCATGTGCTAGTTGACAGTTCCCTTCTTTAATCCTCCTGTTTGCACAGTCTAACGTTCTGGTCCATCACTGTTTGTTCTGCTGAGCCTCCAAGTAATTGTGTACTGCTCTCAGTGTGTCTTGCAGGTCTTTGTACTGAGCCAGCCTGCAGGCTTCCTCCAGCCGGGCCCAGCGGTAGTCCTGGTGCTCGTCAGACAAAATCACCGGCATCTCTGGGTCCCTCAGCTCGGCCAGCCAGTACAACACCTCTTTGGGTCTGCCTCGCACCTCGTAGTGCAGCTCCTGCAAAAAGCCATCAATCACACGCAGGTGCTCCGCCCCCAGCCCCGCCTCCTCCTTGGTCTCCCTCAGAGCTGTGGTGAGGTCATCCTCACCTGGGTCCACATGACCTGATGGTGAACAGGTTAGCTGTTAAGTGGCACATAGAACATTTAAAGCTATAGAAGCTTGGTCTCTATCATCAACTACTTGATAGAAGTACTGTTTCTGAACTTGTAAACACCTTTGGGTGGGGTCCAGTGGTGTTCCCCATAAGAGGTCTGCAAGAGGAGGTATTCGATGTTGTCTGGTGGAGGGATGCAACTGGCTAGACGCCGAAACACTATGAAGCCACAAGCACGCAGCGCCATCTCCCTGTTCAACAACTTCACACATAAACACATTTAGCATTACATGGTGTTTCAGGAATCTCAGAAAACAGAACATAAAGCTGCAGTGTGCAGTAGAGCCAACCTGTACATTAGAGTCTGTCTGCAACCACAGAAATAAAGAACCACCATTCTCCAGACTGCATAGTGTGACCCTTTCAACTCTTGGGGGGGGTACAAAATAATATTACATGAAAAAGTACTAAAGTCTATGTGCAGGTGGGACATATATAAAGGTGCATTTGCATATAGACCTAACTTATGTTTTAGTAGTTCTGCTGACTAACACATACAAACTGCTCAGCAATGCAAAACATTTATGGTTAAAATCATTCTTTGTAAATTTGAAGGAAACCTTATTTTCCCATAAAGTATCCACTAACATGGTGGCAGTCATTGCACAATTACCCCCAGCTCTCTTTATTCCATCAGGCTCAGTCTTTTATGTTCAAACATACTGGCCTCATTTTAGCTTTTGCTGGCGAGTGCAGTTGTTACAACAAAGATCAGCAGACTCGCTTTAGACTGGAGCCAAGAAAGGATTAGCACACTGCAACTTGTGCTGATTCTGTGACAGATCTCCCAGGTTTACAGACTAATGTACAGCACGGTGCAGATTATTCACCAGAGCAAAAGAAACCTGTTAGTAATTCTACCGTGTTAGCTAGCTAACCTCTCTGACTGCACTCGGTGTGTTATACTTTCTGTTCTCACTGTGGTCTGACGAGCATTTACTTAACTTCACTTAAAAAATATCAGAAACTCACGGTCTATTTTTGTTAGTTGTTAGAGAGTGAGAGTGCGGAGTACCTCAGCGGTGCACTCAGAAATGAGTCCGGTCCTCTTTGGAGACGGACACAAACAGTTCCGCTTTGTAAAACTGCTTTGACAGTATTTGTAAAACCGGCGGTGAAAGAGGTCTTCAAACGCCTCACTTCAGTCAAATTATATCAAATTTAAAAAATAAAAGTAAAACTATTCATTATGCAGAATGGCTATATTCAGATATATTCTTACATTGTACTGATATATGATTTATATATTCTAAACTATATTATATAGCCTAAGTCTTATTTTATATGAGCATAATTATTGTTGATATTATTTATTACTGTTAGAATTGCAACGATTTCATATACTGTTGGGAATGTTAATCTATAATGATTTGTATGTAAAGGGTAACTATGGCTGCACTGATAATAAATGTGTAAACATTAAAATATTATTAATATTGATTATAAATAGTACAATATTTCCCTCTGAAAGGTAGTATAAGTATAAAGTATCAGAAAATGGAAATACTCAAGTAAAGTACAAGTACTTAGGTACAGAACTTCAATAATGTACTTTACTACAATCCTCTACTACTGCTACAGCAGCCGATAATGATGGTGATGGGAATTAAAATAATAACAGGCACACAAAGAAGGTGAACTGATAAGACTAAAATGCACTAATAAATAATAATAGATCTTTTTTTAAATAATTAAATTTAAATACATACATTTGTCATGTTAGAAATCTCTTTCAGTGACACATATGATAAACATCAAATAGCTGTTGTGCCTGTGGGAGACAGATAAGAAATGTACCCAGAGTAGATAGGGCCAACTGAAGACAGCTTGTGTCTGAAGATAATAGAGATGGGACCTCCTTCCTATAACAGCCGAGCTGTCAGCAGTACAGTTGTTCATCTTGACGGCGGAGACACCACTGCTGAGTTTCAAGGTAAAGACAAAAACCTCACCTAAAATACATGTTTTGTTATTTTCAAGTAAAAAATATACAGGGAGAGGGGCAGGCAGACAGACAGACAGACAGACAGACAGACTTCATAAACATAATGTAACTTTGAATAAGTTGTACAAATGTAGCTGAGAGTTTCTCTAGGTCTCACTTAAAGTAAATGTATTGTTTTTCTGAGATAAACAATTATTATGCTTTTCTGTAGCATAGCAAGAGGCCTCGGGACATGTGACTTTTGCCGCTACTACTACTGTGCTTACTCAGCCTGCACTGAAGAGCTCATTATTCCACTCCGCTATCCATGAATCTTACTTGGGGTCAGGTTTCCCTGAATCCAGATATTTGCAGTATATACTGACTGCCACAGAGATTACACAGGGACAGAGGACTGAGGTCTCAGATGACCAGTGCTTTTGTACAGTGACAACCAGTTTTATATTTTATGTCACTGTATTTGACCCACTTGTGTCACCTCTTGTAGGTCATACATAATGGAATAATTGGGCAATAGGGGACACACAACAAGCACAAAAAACCCATAATTGTTGATTAGATAGGATTCCATTTCTGATCTGCTATGGGATTGGGCTCCCCTTAATCTCTGACTTCTTTTGGGGTTTATTCCAATTCATATGTTCACTTAATGGTTAAACTAGTGATGATGAGACAGATTTTCGGGATTAATATCCCAGGTGTGAATATGTTTGTAGCAGAGCTGATCTGTGCCAAAAGTTTGTCTGGAGGTTGTGGACTTAATTTAAGCTGACAACTGTGATGGGAGATGCCAACACAGTAATCCCAGTGACAAATCCAAAAGCCACACTTCTCATGTGTACTTAAGATTAAAGTTGAAGCTCTCCCCTGGAAATACAGAACAGTTACAGTGCTGCACGGATGGCATTGATTGTAGAATAGTTACAACCAATCTTGTGATTTCATTAAGAAAAATAACACATTTTTTGTGATAAATACTAAATAGTGATAAATCCAAAAAGCATTTCACGCAGCCATGGAAGAGAAGCAGCAGCCCACAGGAGGGCCTCATTTTGTGGGGAAGAAGGAGGAACTGATTGAAGCGAAGCGCTCTTTCAGAACACTAGAGGGTCGGGATATACTGATCATCCACCACCAGGGAGTCTTCTACGCTGTGGACTCTTACTGTTATCGTGAGTACAGTGCTAACTTCAAAACAGCTATTATAGTTATGAGAGAGGGAAAGTGCGTGTGCGTGTGCGTGTGCGTGTGTGTGTGTGTGTGTGTGTGTGTGTGTGTGAGACCTTATCCAACAACATGCATTCTCATCTGGATCAACAATGTTGTTGGGTAAATGCTTACTTTCACTGAAACAACTCAAAAATAAGTTGCTGCTGATACAAATCCTGTCATGGGACATTTAACACTGAGCTGCCTTTCTTTGTTATCCATGGGACATTTTAGCACATATTACCTCTAAAGTGTGTCCAGTCAGCAAAAGGTTAGTGTGCTGCGAACCGCTTGCTTATTCTGCAATACACTGATGCTCTAACCCTCTCAACAGATGCTGGGGGAGAACTGCAGAATGGAGACATTGAGGTGAGGTTTACATTTGACTTAAGAGATTAAAGGTTGTTTTTTTGTCTGACCCAGAGGAAAGAAGCCAAAATGCCATTGGAGTTAAAGTACTGGGCTGTGCTGATATGTTTTTTATCACATCCTTGCTTTCAAAGGCTATTCCATCTGCATTAAAATCCTTAACAGCAACTGCTGGGCTGAGGCATGGAGCAATGCTGTAATTAAGATCTCAAACCTGAATCACATTATTTTAATGTTATGCTAATGTTGAGGGACCTAAGTGACCTCGTCTTATCACACATGAGGTTGTTTACCTGCTCTCTTTCAACACACTCACAGGAAATTGATGGCAAGCTGTGCATAATTTGTCCAAAGCACAAGTACAAGATCTCTCTTGCCAAAGGGGAGGGCATATACAAGGGCACCAACCCCAGGGAAAAGCCGCCTGTGCCCCGATGGTACTCTAAGGGAGTGAAGCAGCGGACCCACACGGTTACGGAAACCAACGGGGATGTCTATGTCAAGCTCTCTACAGAGACGTGCTGGATTGACTCAGACTTCTACCAGGGAGAGAAAGGCAAGGTGGAGAGGGCCAAAGCTGAGGCAGCTGACAACGAAACATCTTGATAGTAACACAGATGGATGAAGATCTCTATAGTCTGTTCTTGTCTCCCCTAATCTCCTCTAAAGCAATGGCTCAGGGGACTGCTAGGGGCTCTTGAGGGGGTTCCGGGGGGCCCTATTTCAGTAGCTAAATGTTTGTCCATTGAGAGAATATATAAGAATGATAATTCTGTTAATAAGTTTCACACTATTGACTGTTCATCTGCCAATCTACACTATAGACAGTTATGGAATAAATAAATCTTATCAGATGTGGATCACTGAAACTCTCTGGGGTCTGGGGTTCCTTGATACCAAAAATGTTAAGAACCATGGCTCCAAAGAACTGCATGATGACTGTATGGAGAGGATGTCAGATATGCAGTAATCACTTGAATTTGCATGGCCTTAAAATGGGTCGTGTTTTTAATGAGTTTAGGAGTGTTTCGAATTTTAAATTGCATTTTTTGGGCCTTGCAGATTGTTTACACACCAGGTCACATAGTTCCATGCACATGCATCATTTAATTCACGGAATAAACTTTTTTTTAATGGATGAATTTTCTGATTGTCTGTCCTCAATCTGGGCAGTGGCACCAGGAAGTTAAATGCATGCCCACACTGCTGTATTTCTCTGCATTTCAATATTGTTCATGTATTATGCATACAGTGAATGAATCAATAAGATAAAAGGGTTTATGCTGATCAATAATGTTGTAAAGTGGACAATCGTTAATGTAAAACATAAAGATCATACCACAAAATTGGCCACTTTTTTGTAATATCCAGTCGGATAACATCAGAAAGCATTAATATTAGGGCACAAACTGCACAGATTCCAGCATTTAGGATTCGTGTTGGGACTCCACAGAAAAATTCATCCAGCGACTGTGAAAGAAAAAAAAGAAACTAGCAAAGGACACGGACCAACAGTCCCTGTGGTTGTTAAAAGGTGTGTTGACAGCAGCTTCAGACAGGTACAGGTGGCTGGCTGCCCCTCATGGGGCCTCTGGTACATATTCTGTGTAGAAACTCAGGGTTTAGTTTTAAACATTTGATCCTCTCATCTTACTCTGGGCAAGGAAGCGAATATGTGTATTTCCCCAAATCCTCAAACTATTCCATTAATATTAATGATGTATCTCTAAACCTGACTTTGTTACATTTTGCTGTGTAGTGACTTTGATGTGGCACTGACAGACCTTTTTTTTAACTCCATCCTCCTCCTACTACTCTCATAATGCATCTTCCTGCCAAACTCCCACCTCCAGTTTATAACACAGGCCTCCTGTTATAAATTCAAAGTCTGAAGTCCAGCATGAGTCTGTCATAAATTTGTAATTATTAAAAAATACAAAGGTGAAGTTTTTATAAGGCTTCTATGAAAAAAAAGGCGAATCATTTATTGCACAGCCCTCCTACATGTAGCATGCTAAAATAATTTGGTTCTATTATTTAACTATTTGATGTAAAGAGCCAAGACAGCCTGTCACATTCAGATTATTACTCTGTTACCCATAGTGCAGGCTAACAGTGACATTGCCCTAGAACTGCAAATGCCATGGGTTGATAACACAAAGGCTTTGGGGTACAATGTCCCTGCGTGCATGAATGATGTTGGGTCTCTAAAAAATGGCCAACAGCAAACTCACAGCAAAGTCTAAAGCCTTGGCCTATGTGACGCTTCGGATACAATCAAGAAATGCACAGTGCTGTGGGTTACATGGAACAAGGGGAGCCGAGCACTTGTGCAAAGTTACCACACATTAAATATTAAAATATGATTATGCAGTGAAATTGAGAATCTTGATATAAGGCAGGGACTATTCTGTGCTGGTGGTCATTTACAGTAGGTCAAGTGGAAGGCTGTTTTTTATGAGGTAAAGAGCGGACTGTCTGGGGAAAATGCTTCGCAGGGCTGGTGCATCTCATTTCATAGGGACAATATTGCACAGCATGTGAACAGCATGGAATTACAGTGTTACAGAGCATTCAGAACCAAGGCCTAAATACTCTGTGTTGGTTTTGTCATGCATTATTCAGCGTGGTTGTGAATGACACAAGAGGCTCGGATTAAACAGTTAAGGCTTGAGCTATTCTTCCTCTCATAAAAGCTCTGGAAGTCCTCAGTTTGTCCAAGAGGGACCACCAGATATTATCTCCTTTTATCTACCACTGACTCCCACACCCAAGCCACTTTTAGTACACACTACACACTTACAGTATTGTATATGTTCATGCTACATCAGCAAATGGTCTCCTGCCCCTTACGTTAATGTCATTATTATTATCAACATTGCACTCCATGCTCATAGCTCCAGGCAATTTCGTGTGTGTCTCTTCATGTGGTGGAGTTCACTGTCTGTCTTTGTGAGTCAGGGACGAGAGAAGGGAAGTTATTAACACACACACACACACACACGTGCTTTATATCGCCGGACCCAGCAGAGGATAAAGCTGTTGTTGTTCAATTGTTCAGAGGTGAAACTGTCAGCTTTTGAAAAGACAACACGGCGTAAAACAGTGCGTGAGTGGATTAAACAACACTGTCATGTCCTGCCCGTCGACAGCATGGTCCTACTGAGGGTGCCTCTGTGTGTGTGTGTGTGTGTGTGTGTGTGTGTGTATTGGCACGCGCTGCTTCTGCATGCGTGAGTCCGCGTGCGTGTTGCTGAGTCAGGCGCGACCTCTCTCTCTCTCTCTCTCTCTCTCTCTCTCTCTCTCTCTCTCTCTCTCTCTCTCCAGTTGTTCTTTGCCACTTTGTTTTATGCGCCGACGTCATTTCATACGGTCTGGACACCGAGGCGCGAGGCTGCTCCCCCTCTCTCCCCGTCGCTAATTGTGTTTCCTACCGACTGACTGACAACTTGTTTGTCTGTTAGCGCATTGGCTGCCCATGGGCGCTGCTGTTTACACACTCTGCTGCTGCTCCGCCGGCTGGGCTGTCCGGTGCGCCTCTGCGGTCGGTTCGGGACGGTATCGGGCTCCGCTTTTATGAATGAATAACGAGACGGGGGGGAAATGCGAGTGACTGCGAAACTCCCCAGCAGCCGGGCTCCCGGGGGGCCAGCCACCGATGAGAGGGATTAACGACGGAGCGGAGCCGCGGCTCATTGCGGAAAAGCCGACTGCAGACTGGCGTGGAAACGCACCGCGAGGGAAACGGGCTACATAGCGTAGAGCAGCGGAACAAAACCGCGGCGACCACAATGTAAGTTGCTCTGAAGCTGCAACTCATTAAGGGATGTGGGGAGAAAGGGGTTCGTGGTATGGTATGCGTGCTTTATGTGTGTGTCAGTATATCACTGCTTGATAAATATAAATACAGCACCGACATGTAGCCTAAGTGCCAGATTTATTGAACCATAATACCCTCTCAGGTGTAGCTAATTAGGGCCTTTGGCAAGCTCCTTCTTCCCAGTGACATAACGGTGATGCACTGTCTCCGTGATAGACATGAATAATAAGGACCAAGGCAAAGACAGGTGTAATCACTGGACCATCACCATCATCATCGTCGTCTGCTTACGTGCCGCTTTATCCAAGTCACTTTCCAACCAAAGAGTTGTCTGGCTTACAGGTCCATCCACATTGTGGCTCTGGGCAGCGAGTGCCCTGGAGGAGTCGGGCCCGGGGAGGAGATCATGGGCCAGGGGCAGCTGCAGGGAGGCCTGCTGTGGAGCTACTTGGGTCACGGGGCGCTGGTGGGACCCTGCGACCTGGAGAGCAGCCTGCACAACCCGGCCTTCATGGAGTACACCTCACGCGTGTTTGGGGATGTCACTGTAGTGGTTCGGGATTGTCCCAGCTGGGTAAGAGACATTTGTGTGCAGAGCAGAATGAGGGAAAACTGAGACTTACATGTGTCCATCCCCCAAATTTGGATTTTTAACCCCATTTTTTTTAGGTGTTTCCCCCTCACACCTTCTTGCTTCTATGATACCAAATCAGAATTGATTGACAGGTGAAGGTTAGGGCAGGCCAAGATGGCAAAACATGCCATAAAAGAGTGGTGTAATTTTGCCAGAGCATTATCATTGTGAAAGATTGCACTGATATGCTGTTTACTTTTCACTCTGCTCCTGTTTCTCAGAAGATGTACAACATTTCAAAATCCAAGGCCACTTGCCTTCCAGCGCTGATTGCAGGCTTTGTAAAAAATGTCCCTATTCTTAGGAGAACGCTATTTTAACATGCACTGCACAAAAAAACGTTTGTTCTTCATAGCATATGAATTTGAAATGAAAGCACTGTTATGATTTTGTAGCAGCATTATATGCATTCTATTATAGGGCTGTCTAACCCTGTTAGGGGTGGTGCTGGTGGAAGTCTGTCAGTCTAATTCTTTGTCTCTTTGTCCTTTTCTATTCAAATTGCTCAAAGCTTTCTGAAGTGTCCCCCCCCCCCCGCCTAATGAGTTGAGTTGGTTCAGAGCAATCAGCTATAGCCTCACACAAGTCCTTGGGGGTAAAGTCCCAAGAGCCATGCTGAGGTATTTATATTTAGGGAGACTCAGAGGGGAAGGGTTAGGGTTATCTAAGGTAATGTTTGTGGTGCAGGTTGGGTATTTACAAAATTCCGTATACAGTGTTCCTCACGTCTGTCCTCCTCTGACCTCCTACTATTTATATCTGTTGTTCCTTTCTTGCCTTTCCAGGACTTGTTGGACAGCGACTGGGCCAGCGTACGGAAGGTTCTTGAGCAGGCGGACATCCTGGTCATTAAATATTCAGTCACTGACAAGCTGGCCTTCCAGCAGGTCAGAAACGGCTACGCCCCGAGACTCCGCCCGCTCCTGAGGCACTGGGGTGTGCCTGTCATCCTAGTCGCTGTTGGAGCGCGGCTGAACGGTGAGGATGCTTTTGTTGTGTGTTTTTGTCAGAGCCAAGACTGAGTTTAGTTTTGCCAACAGCGCCTTGACAGCTGATGGCTCTACTAGCAGTTTGTCATTGTTGAACACGAACAATGGAGTTTGAGAGGCAGCAAATACAAAATGTCTCATCTCTCAGCCATTGTACTTGATATCCTGGTATTTTAGGGTTAAGTTACGGTTGCCTGAGTTGTTGAGTTTGATTTCCGAACAATATCATGTTCTGCTCATTGGGCCAGTGAGATCACCGTCTGAGCCTTTGTGTCCTCTACTGTGTCCTCTCAGCAATGAGGAGGATGCTCATGATTAAATCTCCTCTTGGCTGCCTTCAGGCTTTCAACTCACATGCTTCCCTGCAGGAAACACACCAAATCAAGACGTTAAGTTGACATTTTTTTCGCCATTATACGCCTTGTAAGCAGACAAGAGCTCGCACAGCACTTGAAGATACACTGTCATGGCTTGGAAGTGCACCACACAAGTAGTTTGTCCCTTAAGTAGGACTAGGCCGCTCGGGTGTAGCCTTAGTATGTATACTGGCACTGTCAGTGAGTCTGCATGTGTGTTTGCCGCACACACACACACACACACACACACACACACACACACACACACACTGACCCTTGTCAAATCCAGATTCTGTAAACAAGCTCATCAAATGCACCAGGTTGTATTTTTAGCTTGTCTGCTCGACATACTTTGAGATCCTGTCAGAGCTCCGCTGCAGAATGATCACAGTGTGAGTCTTTGCCTGAGAGAGAGAGAGAGGAGGAGAGGGAGCGGATACCTGTAGACCAGAGCTTTTGTGTTTTCCTTTGTGGCTGTTGTGGGTATTTTCATGCCATCCTCTTATGACTGCAGAGAATGACGGCTGAGCTGTGAGCACTTCCTGCTGCTCGACTTTAGACCACCTGAAGGCACAGCTGTGGCAGAGAGCGCTGCTGTACGTGCATTAGCGCAACCATTAAACCAGCGCTGAGCGCAGGAGCACACAGGCAGATTAATCCAAGGGCACGCACACAAACATACCACTGATATGCCAAGTCACCGCCTGTCAGACATTGGGTCTCTCTCTCTCTCTCTCTTTTTTTTCTCTCTCTCTCTCTAACACACACACACACACTCACTCTGTCTAGCTCCATCTCTACGTCATGCCTGTAGGTTATTAGCAAGATGATTTATCAAATGCCTCAGCACTTAGCTGTATGTCCTGCTCATTCTCTCTTTCTCTTTGGCGCTCTCCTCCTCTGTGCAGTGTTTTTTTCTCCTTCAAGCTAATCCCTCCAAATTTTCTGTCTGATTCTCTCTTTGGTTATAAACACATGCCACAGTGTGGTTTGTTCTTTTTTTTGTCTTTGGACTTGTGAAAAACAGTGGCCTGGAACTGCAAAACACATCAGTATTATATTAAAGAAGACTTAATGACATTTCAGAGACCAACATGGTGAAACACAATGAAACAGAAAACAACAATCTTTCACAAAATACACCACACATACCATCTCTATTTTCAAATCCTTGCTGGCTGTCACTCGGAAGTAGAGTAGTCGCACCATAAAAGCACATGTGGCATCTGGTTTTTATGTTCTGTTTTTTATGAGATATGTTTTCTATTTTAATTTGTTTGGTGAAATGTTGTTTTTGTGTGTGTTTATGTGTGGTCTATAAGGAAGTTTTGAAAGGCAGAGAAACGTATTTACAAAAGAGGTTTTGAGTGTCATGTTTTGTATTGAACAGAGTTTTTGGGATGTCAACATTGTTAGCTTTGCTCTGATTGGTCAGTCTGGGAGTAGATTCACTCTAAATTGTAGACATCACAAGCACAACTATGTTCAACTGAAATGTCTGTTATATATTGAGAGGTGTCAATAGTGCAGAAGAGGTTTTGATCCATGTCTGATGATTAACTTCAGGGATAGCCCTTTCTATGGACTGTACGTTATGGCCAAGTGCAGCTTGTTCTGTGAAACTCTGTCATACACCCTTATAAACAAATGATTAGATTCAGTTATTTACACAGTTTGAATGATTTCATCTTAGAATTAAACTATGTGTTCAGATGAAGGCCCTCCCTGTACGTGCCCTCTCTGTGCATCTGACTGGAGCAGCTGTGTGCCTCACAGTGAAGGTCTGCAGCTGTCCCGGGACCTGGGGGCCACCTACCTGGAGTTGCCCTCTCTCAACCACGTCTTCGTGGGTCGCTATTTTGGCAGCGTGGTAAGTGGTCACGGCACACAGCATTGCATTGTACTACAGTTGCATTTTGATTCTTGTGCCTGAAATAAAGTTAGTATGATCAATAATGTGCTGGGTGGGCTTTTTGCCCCAGCATCCCCTGATACATTTGCGTGTATTGTGTGTTTTTATGCTCAAGCTGTTAGATACATTCTTAACTTTGCATACTGTTTCTGTCTATTTAACTCAGTGAACTCCTCACTTCAGACAGGTACAGTGCTTATTAGAGGAGACAAGGACAGGTAGCTACATTGGTCTTCTCAGGAAGTTGTTTCCGAAGCAAAGAATTGATGATGTAAGATAACTATTTTTGTACCTTGCATTTGGACTAACGTGAGTATTTCTGTATTGTTCAGCTGGAGTATTTCATGATTCAGTGTCTGAAACACAAAGCCAAAGAGAGGCCAGAGAAGAGGCGAGGAAATAAAGTGAACGAGCTTCGTCCCCCTCACTTAGAACAACCAGGTCAGACGAATACTATGGTATCTAAAGACTAATATTGCTTTTATTTTAAGTGGCATTTTTGTGGGTGTTGTCAGTTACTATAGGGAGTCTATTAACCCTTCTCCAGCTAATTTAAAAAAATTTTTTATTTCACTGATTAAATTCAGCAGTTATTGTTTTTATTTAGTTGTTTTCATGTTATCAAGTAATTATTGTTGCCTTAAATTGCTCCTTTTATGGTATATAGAGAACACTCAGTTGGACTGACTGGATTGTTTCTTCTTACAGCTTACATAGCCACAAAAAGAGCTGAGCACAACCGTTTTATCCAGATCAATATTCTGTGTTCCAAACTGGATATAAGAAGGGAGACAAAGAGCTAGGTAGACTACTTTTATTCAATGACGTTTGAATCAATTTTAGACTGAGCTCCTTTCAGCATCAGACACAGGAAGAACTGAGTGTTTAGTGCTATGTTGTGAGGCAGCTCAGTGACTGTAGATGTGGGATGGGAGAGGATTACTCATTAACTGTAGGTTTAACCAAATTAATCAGTTTAGGTATTTAGGCAATTGAACACTATAAACCTACTTGGCCAGCCAGTAATCCCACTAATGCAGCTCTTTCTTCTTATGTGTTTTTGTGCATTGTACTAAAATATAATGTTATATTTATATCTTAGATTTGGACAGTTTACTTTAGGGCTGCAACTTCTGATTATTTTCATCACAATTTTCCAAAACCCAAGGTGATTTGTTTGTGGCAAATTGTTTATTTTGTCCAATTACAGAACTCAAGGACAATTCAGTTTACTATAAAATTGACAAGTTCTCACAACACGTTTCTCTTTGATGAGCTGGAACCACTGTTTTTGCCCGAAAAAAGACTCAAACGCTTATTTGATCATCAAAAAGCTGCCAATTAATCACTGACTTGAATAGTTTAAGATCTAATTTAGCTTTAATCTGACTAATTGAAATTCAGAATCTCAGATTAAATTTGAATTAAGCTTCAAAACTAGTTTGTAGCCGACTGTAGATTTATTGCAGAGTGTCTTTAAGCCAATCAGATTCTGCAAACACAAAGTGCTAATTATGAGAAGAGACAAATTACCATGCTGCTGATCATGAACCACAAACATTCATACAAGGCAAGCAGCAGAGGCACAGTAAGTTTGATTATTGTAGTGAAGCTTAAAATAGTGTGACAGTTTCTTCTCCTTTGTCTTAATGTTCTACTTTTTTAGACTGTGGCACTTGTTCTCCTAATTGGCTAAAGACAGTCTGATTAAATCTGCTGCCGACTGCCATTCCTAATGTTGCCACAAACTAAAAGCTTTCTGTGTGTTGTATTTAAAATTAAACAATTCAGATTAATTTGAAGTTTCCAGTGTTTGAATTCATAGTTACAGTCCTGTCTCTTGCTACTTTTACTGCTACCACTCACATTTCAATGTTTTTCCACACACAGTTAAAACAGCTGAGAATATTTAACTCAAACTAGGCAATTAAACTAGTGTTAAATATTGATCTGACCACTTTGCTGCTGTGTGTGTGTCTAAATCTGATGCAATGACTGTCAGCTTTAAGTCTGGCCAAAAAGGCAGCAAGTGCTTGTGGGATTTATTGGTGCCTGTCCAACACTGCTTAACTCTACTTATGGTGTAGTTTGAATTAAATATGACGTGCACTGATTCAGGAATGGCACAGTTTTCTCTGCCAAATCTGAGCGGCCATAAAAAAGGAGATGAGGTCCACAGAGGTGCAGTGTGTATTAAGCATGAATAGAAATATAATGGGACAATGATTTGTGAAGCCCATGCCCCTTCTCTCTCTCCCCACTTCCTTTCTTTCCTGCTCGGTGCTTTGTCAGTTTTTATTAATCTGAATTCATGACAAAGCACAGTTTTTTCTCCTACTCGTTTTCTATGAAATATTCTCTCCCTCCATGTTGGTGCTCCAAACTGGTTTCTCAATTTTGTACTTTTTTTCATTGCAGTATTTTTCTTGTACTCACAGTTTTTACTGTTCCACGCAGTTCACTGCAAATAATTTATCTCTGACTATCGTCTGTCCAGGTTTTTACTATATCTTCTTTAACTATTAACCTTACTTAAAATAAGCTTTTGGACATGCATTGAATTTGAGTTTTTCTATCACCAAAATAAACTAAAACAGAATTAGTAAAGTATTTCAGTGTCAGCCCCTCAAGATTGAAAAAACAGGCAGAAATCCACTGTTGAATAGAGACATATGTTTTTCTCCATTACTTCAATAGACCAGAATTCACTGCAGAAGCATTGGTTTGCATCTTTGCAGGTCTGTCATTAGTGCAAAGGCAAACATATCTGGGAGCGTCTTTTCCAACTTGAGCAACAGGGCAGGGCACAACATATCCTGAGTCTCTCTCAGCTCTCACTACACTATTGCTGTCAGTATCGCATACCCATAACACACCATTTCTCTCTGAGCTCTCAAAACTAATTATTAAAAAAAAGAAGTATACATGATGAAAAGTCCAAATTAAAACACTCCTAGGGTGCTCTGACCATAACAGATTTTCCCTTTCATCTTTTGAAAATATGGACTGAATTTCATCAGTGGTTGTTCATTAACAAAACTCATCCTCCATCATCTTTTCACCCCCTGTACTCCCTCTTCCTCCCTCTGTTCAGCACGTCTTCCCCCTATCAGAGTAGAGGAGTCCAGTTTCTCCCAGGACATGCAGTGGTTGTTGGAGCGTGGCGTGCAGTTCGCCGATGTGGCTTTCTACGCCGGGGACTCTGGGAAAGAACTGGGGTGGGCACATGCTGCTGTGCTGTGTGCTGTCAGCCCATACTTCAGACAGCTGCTCCTGGGGCCCAAGAACAGGTAGGAGACATATTGGCTTGTTCACAGGATGGAGTTTAACAAGCTATTTCACCACCTGCGCTTGTTAGCCAGCAGGAGCTCAGCTCTCTCTCTCTCTGCAAACTCCTCTTTAGTGTAACTATGAAGGATTTTGTGCTGAATTTCATCTCTGGTTGGACAGGGAACGTCCGCAGTCGCGGTGTGTTTGCAGAGAGCGTGATGGAGGTCCCCATTCGTTGCTCTCCACCTGGGATGGGGGGATTATTGATGACATGCCACGATCAGAAGGGCACCTGACAGGACGCCTCTCTCGTCTGGTGGTGAAGGACCCCCTCCTGTGCATGTGCTTGTGGGAGACTCTCATGTTCATTTACAGAGGTAAAAACCACCAGTCGAACACAGCACACTCAGATACAATTTACTGTTTTGTGTCTTTTCCAGAGAATTCAGTCATTTCCATTTAACCTTTTTAACAACCCTTCGCTTATTATTATGAACATTTAATATGCAGAGTATTTTTTTGATTAGCTGGGTAATAGTTGTTGTATAAAATAAGAAATAGTGCAAAAATTATACACAACTCCCCCAATCACAATTTTCCAAAGCCTGAGATGACATTATTGCTTGTTTTATCCAATCAACAGTCCAAACCCTAATTATATTGCATTTGCTATCCTAGAAGAAGACTGAGAAAACCAACAAATCCTCACATTTAAGAAGCTGGAATTACTTTATTTTGGTGTAGTTTTGTCACAATGGCAATGCTAACATGCTAATGTTTAGCAGCTATAGTGTTTACCATGTTCACCATCTTAGTTGAGCATGTTAGCATGCTATTGTTTGCCAATTAGCACTAAACACAAAGTACAGTTGAGCCTGGTGGGAACGTCTTTAGTTCTGCAGGCATTTGGTGATAAACCAAAGACCTGATGATGGTGTCAGATAAAATGTCATGAATCATCAAAGTGATTATAATTCATCCTCAGGGGGAAATAAATGTTTGAACCAAATTTCATGGCAGTCCATCCAATAGCCGTCAAGATATTTTAGTTCTACAAATATCCACTTGCTGGTGGTGCTAAAAGAAAAATCAGGCAAGCAACAAAGTCCTCAAGATTCATCCTTTGGACACTGTGAATGTGTTGTTGAGCTATTTCAGTCTAGACCTAAGTGGTGGACCAACACACATTACCATCCCCAGAGCCATGCCAGTAGCATGGATAAAAATTACCTTGAAAGTGAGATCAATTCAATTCTTCTTCTTTTTTGATCGACAAATCAATTAATCTACTAAATGTTTCCACACTAAATATATTTCTTTATAGATTATAATCTTATCTTTTTGGTTATTGTGGTCATTTTCAAAAATAATGCCTTGTTGTAAAAGTCAATCTTAGTGCAGCAAAGTATACAACTACAAACCAAAAATATGACAAGAGGGTAAGTTAATCATAAGTGAATTCTAGTGAATGTTGTTAAATTATTTCTGTATTTGAAGTTGCATCAGCTAAATCACAGCAGCACAGCAGCACAGCAGCACAGCAGCCACACGAAAGAGCATCCGATCCCTACTAATTAAAACCCTGTGATTTCACCAGGATCAAGTTGCCCAAACGGACATTCTGGCATCAGGATCAGTTGCACAGGCAGTGCCAAATAGAAAGTGGAGATCAGAATACAAAACTGTCTCCAAAACAGCGGCCAGAGAAATCTGGACTCAGCAAGGACTGCTCAATTAGTTTACTCCCATCACACTACATGGTTTCTGGGAAATGATTTTGCTGGTGCTTCCGGGGTGTGTTTGCCATATTCTGCGCATTATAACTCGAGTTTAAATACAGCTAACAAAGCTGGACTAACACTCAAAGCATGGGAACTCTGTACCCTAAAAGCAGTTACTCTTTTTCCAATGTATTAGATGTGATGATTAATGTTCCCTGGCTGCAGAAGGCAATTTGCCTGCTATTGGGTCTTGTCCAATGTTCCATTATGGTGAGGAACAGAAATCAGTCAAATTGAAAGTGCTTGATAGTAAGCAACTGTAGTATTTTAATTTGGGACCTGATCATTCATTGTGAAATACTATAATCTCTCAGTGATGTCTTAACCCATATTTGCACTTAGATCCCTCTGGCCACTCATGTCTCCTTTATCTCCACCCAGCTCAGTTTTATTACTGACACATGGATTGGTACACAAAATGATGTCTCTGCAGAAATTGAACTTCCATCATTTTGATAGCTAATGGGATTAGTTGATAGAATCTGACTCTGTAGCCCAGTGGCCTCATATTTACATCGACAAATGATTAACTCTGTAATGAAACTGTCATGTAAAATTAACAGTATCGTATACTAACTTCACCCAACAAGGATACAGGCACATGTAGCCATAAAACATGCATCCAAAACATCTGCAAATGCAAAATGTTCTCCAGCCATGTGAGAAGCCTAGTTTAACAGCTTTGTGATATCCTCTGCCATTTCAGCGCTTCATTAATGGAAATCGTCTCAGTCTGCGGCTCAGAGTCTGCAGTGCTGCGCTTGCTGCATGTTAGATTGCTGCGCCTTTGCACACACAGCGCTGTATCAGAGGCTGCATGTCGGGCAAGAGTCCTTATGGCAAAAAGGCTACACTAACATCTGATTCATGGGTGCCTCTTAACATGTATGTGAGCAGCACCGACAGTCTGGATGAACACGCTGAGTGCACACTCACACATTTACACTAGAGGCAAACACACAAACGCATGAGCTCAGCGTGTATGTGTGCTGTTGAAGGGAAGAAGATTATAGGGTTAGACTGAGTCTCTGTGAGTGACTGTATGAATAAGAATATGAAACCTAGCGGTTGAAAGACAGAGTGTGCAGTGTGTATTTTTACATATACAAGTGCTTGTGTGGATTTTCTTTTTTTTTTTTTTTTTTTAGTGAGAGAGGAAGAATATGGGAAAGTAAGGAGGAGAAAATTGCGAGTAGCAGGTGAGGATGAAAGAGGGGGTGGAGTGTTTAAGGTGCTGCTTGCATTTCTGTGAGATATCGTGATGGCGAGAGAGTGTTTGGGTGGTGGGTGAGCTGGGTACTAGAGCATACTGTTTGTGTGTGTGTGTGTGTGTGTGTGTGTGTGTGTGTGTGTGTGTGTGTGGCTTGGGAGAGAATAGCGGAAAGAGGACTATGAGTGCATGTGCTGTGCAGAATACGAATGTCACGTTTCCATACAACACTGCAGGGAGACAGTGTTAAGCCTTGTGTGAAAAATGTTAACCTTCAACATGGCGGGTCTCATTGTATGTTTAAAGCAGCTGACCTCACAAACAGTGTGCATATTTCCGTATTAGTATATTTTCTTGGGTTGGAAGACATGAATATAATGTGTGCCTCCTTTGCCCACAGAAACACTCGGAGCACAGTAAGCCAGTATTTGATGTTCATTAGCAGTAAATCCACAACAGGCTGTACTTTGCTTTCCCAGAGACGGGACGGATATCTTCTTGCTTTCAATTCAATTCCACTCATTTGTTGTAGCTCATTTTGTTGGCTTAGCAGAACACATTTCCATAACAATAATGTGTCTCTGTAAACACACAGCGTCACACTTGTGGTATTATTCCACGCTTGGGTTTTTTGTCACTTGAGTGTGTGTGGACAGACACAGAGGCCGTGACTTTGCTTGTGTGACGTTAACACTGTGAGACTCTGTCTCCTTGTGTAGTGTGCTGCTGAATTATTGAATTTGTCACTCGGTTGCTATTGTGTGTATGTATGTGTGTATGCATGTTTAGTATTAGATGTGTGTGACACATTGTGTGTGTTTGTGGTCATCTTGGCCTTATTTGAGGTCAAATTTTAGACTACAGACCAGTTGCTTTTGGGACAACTTGCCTCACTGGGGGAAAATTGTAACAATTTAGTTTCCTTGCAATTTAATTAAGTAGAGACTACCACTGGTTTGGTTTATGTTAGGTTAAGATTTAGAGTCAGGAATGTGGTTGTTATGGAAAAGGTTAAGAAAAACCTTCAGGAAATTAGTGTTAATCTGTACAACTTGTTCCCAAAAGTATCCAGTCTCAGCACTTGTTTGTTTGTTTGTCTGTGTGTGTTTGTGTGGGTGGGTGAGAAGAAACACTGAAACCTATCTGTGAGATTATGTAGAAATGATTTAACCTTTTTGCAGCTTTTGCTTTTTGCATATATATTCCATTGTATCCAGTTCCTCTCCACCCTACATATGAAAGCATCTAGCAGTGTATCCAGTTCCAGTTTCTTGGTGTCTGGCTGCATCATATGTCAGCAAGACAACTCCGAGCTAATCTCTCACCCTGCCTAGGAGGTGTCTGTGCTGTGCAGTGCCATTATCTGGCACTGTGTGTTGAGGTAATCCCTCTATCAGCCCAAATACCGTCATTATGAACTAATGATGAGATAAATCCTGCCCAGTCCAGCTCCCTTCTTCCCTCGACAGTCTGTTTACGTCCCAGTGAGACTGTGCACCACCTCAATCAAGCTGCAGGGCTGTGCAGGCTTTATAAAGGAGTACAGCACTGAGGTGAATGTGTGCAGCATAGATGTTTTCCTAATTATAAAGCTAAAGGCTGAAGGGTTTAACTCTCTTTTTTGTATTTTTAATAATTCATAGTTTATCTTTATATATCAGCGATGCTAGTTTGAGTCTTTATATTTTAAATGCTTTTTTATGGCAACTTACTGTATATAACACATATAACAGCCCCAATTTTTTTACCTGTTCATTCACTGTACATCAATACTTTTTGTGGCTCTATGCATGGCAATGTTGGTCTGTTGGTTTGTTGGCTGCTCACTTTGGTCCAGAGACAATTATCTTGACTTGAAGTGTTGCATAATTTGCCATATAGACAGACCTTCATGGTCCCCAGAGGATGAATCCTACTGACTTTGGTGCTTCCCTGACTTTACCCCTAGCACCACCATGAAGTTGTCATTTGTGCCTTTTTTAGTGAAATATCTCAACAGCTGTTGAATGGCGATCACTCTGTCCACGCGTTCCCATACTCTTTATCGGCATTACGAATCATCAGGTCAAAACCTTAGATTCTCCAATACTTTTGTTTATGACCAAATACCTAAAATAAATAAAACTAATGGCATTCCCATCAGCCTCAGCTGCACTTTGTGCTTAGTGCTAAGTAGCAGTTGTGTAGCATGCTAACACACTAAACTAAGATGGGGGACATGGAACATTATACCTACCTAACTGTTTCTGACATTCGTGGAATCTGGACTGAGTGTCCCACCCATAACCTCCATGGATTATATAAGCAGACAAATTTTAGAATAAACCAACTTTGTCAAAAACAGGTCCTGGGTGTTTGGTGTTAAAGTACGTGGGTGGTCAGAGCACAGTGCCAGCTAAAAGTGTTTCTGTAAACTGTACTATTGTGTTTGTGGATGTTTTTTAGGAGCGTGGGAGTGGGACCACCTCCAGGAGGCCCTGGAGGAGAAGCTGAAGAATTCACTAGCTGTGGCTCAGCTTATGGAGCGCATACGATCCCTCATCGGCAGAGACAGGGTATCGTCTTTAATGTTTAAAATCACCTTACTTTTCTTTCTCTAATACACACAAATTTCATAGAAATCACATACTTGTTTAAGTAATGTGTTATGGTGTGTATGCTGTAACAGCCCTCACCAACAAAAGAGGTTAAACATCTATAATGTGTCAAATCTACTCTTTGAAGGTATAAACACATGTTTTGGTAGTTGCAGACTAATTAACAAGACCTTGTTTAGCAGTGATAATGTGGCTATAATAAGCATATTTACATAATTACTGCCCGTATCACCTCTCAAATACTGTGGAAATCAGCACAAAGTAAACAAGAGATGCTCTCAAAGGAGCTACAGCAGATCTGTAAGGATTTCACACTGGGCCATGAAATCCAACATTATGTTAAAATTCTGCAGCATCACATCTATAATGTATTGCGTCAATTTAGAAAACACGAGGTGGCTCAATGTAATAGGCAGCAGACTTTACCATTTAGATAGAGAGAGATCAGGGGATATGACATGTCTGTCTCTGACAAGCCTTTGGCACCATGCACGGTCCACCAACCCATCTGGATAGAACTAGGTCTTCTACCTGAGGCAGTGTTGAGACGAGCTGACACACCGAGAGATGGCTGTGCCACTTTAACACGATGAGACGCCCTAATGTCCTGTCATGCTTTGATCTCGTCCTCTGCAAACACCTCCGGGTCGTCTCGTTTCACTCTGTGAGACCGGCTGAAATTTGCTTTCCATAAGCTTCCCACTGATTTACAAAATCAGAGGGGCTTGATTCTGTTGCTGCCTCTTCTGAAGACTCTGTGTTCGCTGAACGCTCCTCTGCCGCAGAGTGGTGCGAGAATATGGAGTTCTTTGTGCTTCAGTTGACTGAGAAAGTTCACGTAATGGTAATGGAATGTTTTGACGACGCTCATTTGCAGACCTAACAAAACCACCACTGCAAAAAGACACACTGACAGCCGTTCTTATACTACTGATTTCACCTGCTGTGCAGAGCAGTATACTGTATACACATTTATTTTATTATGCGCCCTTTTAATGCTTACTGAGCAGGAATGTGTTAATAAATAGACAGTTTGGACAACCGTCTGGTTCTCAGTGTGTTTTTAGTGTTAGGCAGTTCCGTCATGGCGTTCTTGGCATTGCAGTTCAAGCTTGTTTGGATATCGCTAAGCAAGACTGGCAGGAAGGCCATTTGTATTCCACAGGGGAGGTGAGATAGATGCACAGAATGGCAATTGTGCTGGTAACTAGTACCTGACATCCAGCAGAGGAATGTTAACTCTCTCTGTCCATTTCTTTTGGCTTCTTCTCTACTGTGTGTGTGTGTGTCTGTCTGTCTGTGTGTGTGTGTGTGTGTGTGTGTGTGTGTGTGTGTGTGGCGTGCGTAGGGCCCCAGGGACACCCCAAGTGCCCGAGCAGCTCAGCTCGGACCCCAGACGCTCGTCAACCTCTTCAATTCTCCTCTTTACTCTGATGTCATCTTCATGGTGCAAGGTGGGTCAACGCCGAGCTCTTTTACACACACACATTTACAAATGCATGCACCGTCACGCAGCAAAGGAAGGTCACATTTTATTAGCCTTGATTGAATTATGCTCTCAGTCTCAGGCCTGGTCATCCATTTGCAGACAAAATAAGATAAAACGGTCCGAGGGAAAGGCTGCCTTCCGTCCCTGTCATGTTTAATCTCGCCAAAAGCTCTTCCATGAGCTGCATTTAGCCAATTCTCTATTAAAGAATCAAACTGAGAAATTCAGAAATAATGCCCCAAAGCCTCTCCTCAATCGATATCTCATAAAAAAGTGAAGTTAGCTTGTCCTTGCACCTCTATGCTGCAAGTTCAACTCTTTGCAGAGAAAAGGTCTACAAGAATGTTTTATGTTTTTTTTTTTACACGCTAACATGCTGATGGGAGTGTGGTGAAAGCTGTTACTGGCTGTTAGCAACACTTAATGACAGCGATTATGTCAGGACTTGCGCCAAGGCTTTGCATGTCATTTAAATGGCCCATTATGACAGATTATCACCCATAACAAGTAAAATTGAATAAGGGTTGGCCTCTATACTCCTGTGATCAGCCAAAAGAGACACGTTAGTGATACTGACTTGCTTATTCATTATTTTGATCAAAGATACATTCTGTTACTATCACTCAAGATTTAACATTAATTATGAATCGTTTCCACTCTCAAGCATTTCACTTAACAGCTCTTTGGGAATTTCATAGACGCTACTCTGAAATTCTAAACCTAGATGTTAATTTTGCGTGTGTGTATGTGTGTGTGTGCGTGTGTGCGTGCTTGCGTGCGTGCGTGTGTGCGCGTATTCAAGGGAGTGTATTGCCAGCTCACCGAGCAGTACTGGTGGCACGCTGTGATGTCATGGCAGCCATGTTCAGCGGGAAGTATGCAGAGGCCCGCAGCCGAGTGGTGCCCATCCACGGTGTCTCCTCGGACACCTTCCTGTCTTTCCTGGAGTACCTCTACACTGACTCCTGCTGTCCTGGTGAGTTTACTGCACGCAGCCCAGACGGGTGCTCAAGTAATACCCACTGTGACCACTACTGTATGCATTAAGATTAACAACTAAGTGGCACCTAAAACTGCTAACACATCTCCAAAGGGAGGCCTAAATATAGTAAAAGTAATGGCCCTGCCCTCCTCTTTATCTTGCAGACTAATTAAACCCTGTAGCAGATTTTGTATGGTGGTGAGATTGATTGCACTGGGAAACCCTCAGTCTGTGTGTTATTCATTCACCCGCCTATAACTTCTCCCTCAGGCTGCTGCTGTAAATAAAAATAGTTTGCCAAGCTATTGAGACGAATAGACGGTTGGTTGATTTGTGACTGAGATGAAAGTCACTTTAGATGCTAGGGATCTGACCAACAACGTGACAGAAGAACAATGGACCTTTTGATGTAATTTCAATGTACTGCAGCAGTGTTACCAAATCAGAAAACACTTGAGAGAGGTTCAGTAGTGCTTTCCTCTAGGCCTTGCTCACAAAACGCAAAACAAAAAGTGCCATCAACCATCTGTGTGACTGCGACACGCTGCCAGTGTCAGTCTCAGGAGGCGCGAGGATAACAGCACCAAGCTTAAAATTCAATTAGATTTAGTGACGGCAAAATCAACCCGTGGCATCACTGCTTCATCTGCTTTTAATGATGCCAACTCGTGGCCCCAGACGTGTTGTTGTTGTTGTTTTCCCCTGTCACTGTCTGTCACATTGTTCGCAGTAATTATTGCTGATGAGTCTCTCTGGTGATGGCAGTGAGCTATGGTGCATTCCGTTTTTTGGGTTGCTACAACCTTAAAGTTACATTAAGCAACTTTTATTTCATTGCTGGATCAAGGTACTCTCCGCAGTGTGAAAGCTTAGCTGATACTGTTGGTCCCACTGAAAACCAACACTTAGCCTGGAGCTCTGTGCGGCTCTTAGCTCATTGTTTTGTTTTTTTCGTCAGACAAACCAAATTCATTCAAAACTGTCGGAGGTTTTCAGTCCACAGTCTTACACCCACCAATTGTATATAGGGCCGCACAATTAATCGAAATGTTATTGAAATTGCAATATGCAAATCGTAGCTGCAATTTAAAGATAAAATGTGTGACAAAACATCATTTTATTGGAGTTCTGTAGTTCGGAAGAGATGCCCTACAAATCTTGTTCTCCAGATTTAGGATAATATGTTTGTTTGATACAGATCCCAAAATATTTCACATAATCATGATTTTAAAGTGAAAATTAAATTTGCGATGCAAAACAGATTATTCCCACACTAATCGCAAATCATATCGCAATATCTGTAAAATAATTGCAATGTCATGTTTTTACCATATCTTGCAGCCCTAATTGTATATTACCTATACAGCACTAAAATAGCCTGCTGTGTGTGTAAGTGTGCAACTAGTTTTTATAGGTTTGCCACAACTGGATAAGCTGAAATCTCATTAAAGCATCTGGCTGTGTTTATTTTTGAATTTTTCTGCCCCCTAGTGGTAAAAGATTACTTAATTCCACTTTGAATGACAAGCTTATGCAGTTGTGTCTAAAGCAGCTTTGGAAGTAGTGTGTGTGTGTGTGTGTATTTGTGTGTATAATCTGACATCCATGGTAACAGCAGTCCCTCTGGAATCAGTCCTCCCAACTACAGATGATGATCTGTATGATGATATTCCATATTCACAGAAAAAACAACAACAATATATTATGTTTCTTAATTAATAGGCAAAGCCATATAATATATTATACAGAATTAAAGAGTTAATTACAACATTTGGTGTCATCTTCCTTTCCAGTATTGTTATATAACAAAGCTGCTGAATAGACAATGTACTGTAAAGGCTCAGAATAATCCGTTCTGAATAACCAGCTACTGAGAGCTGACAATCCCCTTATTTTGTGCCATGAGATGTTTTGATGAAAAAATCATGAAAACTTCAACAAGCAGCCCTCCTTAGGTACAAGGAGGGTAAGCAAGCTGTTTCCAGAGATACAGCTTCAGGTTGAGTCATGGGAACAGGAAATTAAAGCGATGAAAGAGCCCCAGAGGCTGTAGCCGCTGCACTGTTATATAAGAGCCCAGCACTCAAGGTCAGAGCGAGGTAACTCCACCAGTAGTGACAAAAAGGAAGGGTGTGAAATCAAAGGAGGTGTATTTCATTCAGATAAATACTGTGTGATAGTAGAACACGTTGTTATACTTGTGTATATGTTTAGGGGATCGTGCAGCTGAACAGAACAAACCGTCTGTACGGCTGCAGCTCCGTCTGTCAGAGATGCATGCAGAGAATCATGTTTATAGGAGCGGGTGAAGGATGTTGAGGTCGGTGTTTGACTGACATTAATGAAGGGAGTCATTTGATTTGACATTACATAATAGGGCTGACATTACTTGTTTGATGTTTTTTGCACGTGTGTATGTAATTTGACAGCTTGGAAAGAGCATTGCGAAATTATTTATGTTATATTCAATTTTCCATCCAAAGCACACAGCTGAAGTTTAGTGAATGCGATGATAAAGTGTGTTGTATTCATATAAATCACATGGTTTTTATTGAGAGATTTCTATAAAATCTGTTGGACATCCAACAAACTAATGCACAATCTGAGACATGGAACATATGACATACTGTAGACTGTGCTGAGTACAGTGTGACTTACATATTAGACAATAAGAAATCAACAAATATATTAAGAAAAAAATCTAAATATACATTCTGTAATTCTTGGTTTAGGTCTAGATTTGAAAAGATAGATTTGGTTCATTCTGTCTTTTCCTTTTAAAAGCACTGAAGAAAAATCTGAAAATAGTTGTTTTGGCAAATGTGTAAGCATGAAACAATATTTGGAGCTCTGTTTCTGGACACCTGATAGTTCAATATCCAGTCTTCCTTATAGCTCCGTTTTGGTTCATCTGGCTCTTTAGCCGCTAAATATTCTACTATGTTCCAGCTAGTTGCTACATTTGTTTGTTTGCTTAGTGGTGCGCAGGTAGTGTACAGTTAAGAGCTTTTTGCTCAAAACAGCTGCTTGAGCTGGAATCACAGTTGATGAGAGCGGTAAGAGTGAACCAAAACTGAAAAGCTGTGGTCCATAAAACCAAAGATGCTCTGCAGGGATGAGGGGAACTGTGGAAAAAAATGTTTTTACACTGAGGGATTCCAGCATTCAACCATGCCAACCTTGTGTATGCAAATAAACCAGCTATATTTGCAAACAACAAGTTTATTGTCAAATAATGTTAAAAATTCATCTGGAAGTGGCTTTAACTGATCGGACTAATGCCTTTGGAATTTGTTCAGCACACTCCGTTATTATTAAATAGCTGAAATAAGCTTCATGGGGCATTCATGGTGTGGCTCCGTTCCAATTTTGATTTTGGACCAATAAATATAAAAACACTTTATTTATTTCAGGGAGTGTTTTTAAGCCTTTGATTTCTTCTGGAGGCCTACATGTTTACAAATCTACAATAAATTGTAATCTACACGTTACAACAATGCATATGTAATACTTACATACACAGTGTATCTGACAGTGCTGTGTGTGTTTGTGTGTCCAGCCAGTGTTCTGCAGGCCATGGCTGTGCTGGTCTGCGCCGAGATGTACCAGGTCAAACGTCTGCAGCATCTGTGTGAAGTGTGTGTGTGTGCTTACCTTCAGAGCATGCCCAGTAGAGAGCTGTCATCAACAGGTATCAGCGTGATTCGACTGCTCCGCCGAGCAAAGGTCAGTGCAACTTTGAGTGTACGAGTGTAAGAGAGGGCAAGAGAGATTAAATGAGAACACGAACTGACCTGCAGATTGTCTGTGTCAATTACTACTCCATTATATAGATATGACATTTCCTTCATCCACTAACACTAAATTAAAATGCTGTGTATGAAGGGAATCTAGCTGTTTGCCCAATGCAATGTGTTTCTTTCTGTGCCGAGCTTAATCTTTTAACTTGCAGAAGCCCCAGGCCTTCCTCTGCAACAGATATCCATGCTTATCTGTTGAAAAGCATTAATTCTCAAGAGAATCATTGTTATTTATCATAATGTCTGTGTTTGCATTGATTCTCAGTGCCACAATGCAGAGCAGCTGTATGTCTGGCTCCTCCACTTTATCGCCAACAACTACCTGATCTTCAGCCACAAACCTGACTTCCTGGAGCTCTCAGGTCAGTGTGTGGATTTTTAAACAAGTAGAAAATGTCTGGAAAAATAAAAGGCCTTATAAGTGATGGTTATGCAAACTAAAATTGCTGCAGAGTAATGGTGGAATTAAACTGCTGATTTCAACTTTTTAGAAGGCTTCAGACTTCATTAAAAAAAATAATTAAGTCAAAGTGCCTCCAGGCTTTCGAGGATCTGTTGTGTTTTTCCACACAGTATATGTAGGTTAGACTCCCTCCGTCTCAGATAAGTGCTGTGAATCAGAGGCTGATTCTCATTTTTTGTCAGATGGCCAACCAGTTTGGATAATACATGAGGTGTAATCCAAGTGCCCACCAATCAGTTGTGTATGTAAGGTCCAGTGTGGAACATTTATGAGGATCTCTTGGCAGAAATTGAATACAATATTCATATTTATTTCTTCATTGGTGTATAATCACATTCATATTGTTACCTTAGAATGAGTGTTTTTTGTTGCCACTGTAGTTCCTCCTACACACTTGGTTGAGACAAAGGGTTTCAGTTTATTTCAATCTGCATTTAGATGCCTCTAAATCCTTCACACTGGTCCTTAAAATAAAACTGATTCACAGAAAGTGAGTTGATCACTTTCTACTTTGAGTTTTATGAATCAAACATGGTCATAGACCCCTGGGAAACCTCTGTATTGTATGCTTTACTGTCATATAGCACAATATGGCGTATTAGACTGTAGGCTGTCGGCCCCTCAGAATAATACCTCCTTATAGTTTACTTAATACTATAAGTTTATGCTTGATATAATACTTTGATTGCTCAGTTTTTACAGTCATATGCAATAGGCCACATACACGCAGTTAAGCTAATTACAAAGATTAAAAGCAACATTGCTCTGGTTAGTAGCAGTAGCACGTTTTATTGTCATTAGTCATACACACAAAAATCATTTAAGGTCAATGGACGGGTACTGAAGGGCACAGGCGAAGTCACAGGCCTGAATTGGTAGACAGCACATTATTGATCACTACTGATCTTCCGTTGCTTGTCGGTACAACAGATATTTCTGCCTTGTTGGCCGTGTTCATGGCAACAATCCAACTGAATGCGTTTGTGTGAATATGTGCCAAGGACAGTAAATCTTGCTATAAAAAGGTTTTATCAGCAAAACATGCAATACTTGTGTTTGCAGTAGATTACAATTATAATATATGTGTGTGTGTGTGTATGTGTGTGTGTGTGTGTGTGTGTGTGTGTGTGTTCCAGAGGAGGAGCGCGAGCAGGTGGAGAGGCTACGCTGGCCGTCCAGAGGCTACCTGCAGGAGCTTAGCGAGTACCAGCAGCGGCGACGCAAACTACGCAAGTCCCGCTGCATAGTCATGTGACCGCCACCTGGATGCCAAAATCTGAGGAAAACGGGGGGGAGAGCAGAGGAGGGAGACCAGGGAGAAAATAATGACAAAGAGTGAGACTAGTCATCAATGCTTAGAGAAACAGACAGAAGAAAAGTCTTTTCTGTTTGTCCTGCTGGATGAAGGGGCCGATCCTGAAGGACACTTTGCAGAGGAAAATGTCATAAGACTCCTTAACCAATGGGACAAAGTCGGCGAGCAGTGACATAGACCACTGTGCCACACCTCTCTTCCCCCGAAGGAATGACTGGGCATCCTTTGCATAATGACTATTCCATCATGGGCAATACAAAATGACTGATCCTTAAAACCCAATGTGAATTTAAAATGACTGGCTGGCCACTGGCCAGAGGCTCTGTGAGAGATTATATTTCTATTGGCCGATGCAAAATGGTGGATTTCAAAGATGAACAGTGACACAAAATGGCTCCATTACGAGTACAGATGTATCAAATGACCACACATCTGTTGAAACACTGATCAGAATCACGTGCACACTGTTTCAAACTACAGAAACAGGTAACGTGATTCAGGTTGACTAAGCAGGAAGGAAATTGTGTTTTCTCTGCTCGACACCTGGGGATGTCTTTGTATCTTCTGTACGCTGGACACAAGACTACTCCATTTTAAATTCAACCTTGGCCCATGATGCATTTGTGTTCCGTTGGATCTACAAATTGTGAGTGTGTGCACATGCAGCATTTCTTTAAGCTGAAATAACTCTTGAGCCTCGAACCTCTTTGTGGCTTGATCAGTATTTCAGGCAAACCGTGACCTACATTAACACCGAGAGCAGAGTGGAAGGAAAGAAAGAAACTCAGTTTAGCAGACAAGCAGGACCAATTTAATTACAGCTCTTTTATTAGATTCCTTCAGGTCTATAATGCAACATCAGTGAGTGTCTCTGAACCAGACTGATTTTATCACGTGAGATTTAATACATTTTGGTTGTAGTCTGTGTTAAGGCCGTCTCACCTTTATTCAGATGTGGCTCGAAATTTAATCTTCAAACTAAACTACACATAGTCTGTATCAAAATGAAATGCTCTATACACCAAATCCAGAACCATAATCAACAATGATAAAATGTATTTTTCAATTTGATTTAAAGTCTGTGAGCTGGACTTTCACACCATTTCATTTGCTGGTTATGATGTAATCATGATTAAACTAATCCTCATCCATTTGCAATAACAAATAATAATGCTCTATCTCTGTCTCTCTGTCGCACAAAAAGGCAAAAGCCTTTTGTAGCATTTACATGTACAATGTGTTGTAAAGATTTAGGAAAAACAACCATATCATGAACATATGTTGGTACACTAAAAACCACAATGCCTCTGGGTAATATAATATACAATATTTATTTTATCCAATTCTTTTTAATTTGAGAGATTGTTTTTAATCATAAAAAGAATATGATTTATTGGTGCTGGAATTATTTTTGTAAACTCTACTGTATGTGGACATGATTATGACATGATTACTTTTACTTTTTTACATTCAGAGTAGAGACAACTGGTCACACTGTTTTACAGTCTACTGTTTCACTGGTATTTACTTAAAAAAGGTGCATGATTATAAAAAACCTGACGTGCAGGAAGACAAAACAGATAAACCTTCAACAAAATGAAGCCAAAAAAGGTCGACATTATGCAGCTCTTTCTTATTAGGTGGATCAATATCTGTCATTAATAGTCAGCAAACAGTATGTAACTGTATTTGCATTCAGTTTGTGCAGTACTTTGGCACAGGTGGAGCAGCAGGCTGTGTATATAGGACAAGAAAGCTACCACTTTGACAGTGTACAGGTGATATCAGTTAGTATCTTTAAGCCCCTGGTGTATATTTAACCTGCTGCTGCACCACATTAATCAGAGAGTGTGTCTCCTGAGAGATCCTCAGATAAATCCCAATCAACTCGTAAAAAGAGAGTCAGTAAATAGCAGTTGAAAAACTGGACTGTAAAACAAAGCGTACTCCAGTGCTGCATCCATACCCAGTGTGTGGAGACACATGTGGCTCCCCTGGGCCAGTGTTGTACAGACTGTAGATAACATGACGTCTGAATTTAAATAAAGACATGTTTTAGAATGAACATCCCACCGACTCCATGAGTGTCTGCACTCTTATTGTACAGGCACAGCGGGGTGTACATGTTGTTGTGGGCATTTTGACTGCATTCATTTGTGTCCCTACAAGTTGTTTCTCCCTCCCCTTAACTCTGGAAAATGGGCATGTTTTACATTCAGATGGGTGACAAATTAAAAGAAAAACCACTATAAAGTGCCTCAGTGAGGCGCTTCAGTGCTCCATCGAATAATAACTTTATTAAAATAAAATCTATATAAATTAAATACCAAAATACAACAAAGGAGCAGAAGAGAAGCCATAAAAATAAAGAAATACAACAAAATAGATGGAATAAAGTAAAAAGATAACATCACATAAAGTCTATGAAAATGGGTTTTTAGAAGTGATTAAAAAGAAGTCACTGATTCTCCAAACCATGTCCTCAGACAGGTTGTTCCAAAGCCGAGGGGCCCTGATGGCAAAAGCACGGTCACCTTCAGATTTAAGCCTCTACATTGGAACAGCCAGAAGGGCTTCAGACTGCAAACCAGCTCATAAGGGGATCAGCAATACTGTAGCTCAGGGCCACACCCAGACGTGCTGTCAACATGATCAGTAAAACCTTAAAATCTATTCTAAAACAAACAGGGAGCCCAGATTGGGGGGACGTGATGTGCGTTAAAACCAGTAAGAAGCCGAGCTGTTGCATTCTGATGTTGCAGTCTCTGAATCTCTACTGGAGAGATGAATCCTTCAACAACATGTTCCCTCATTTGGTGGTTTGATGTTAGTGGAGCATGCGGTCTGATTCCAGGATCAGTTTCTGGCATGCTAGTCTTTTCGTCAGGATGTGGTAAGGCGTCCCAGATGCTACGCCCGTTGCCTAACACACTAAAAACAAGCAATCGTCTCTCCTGAAACATATTTTTGTCCCTGGCGGTGCACGTCTTTTTCGGGTCAGGCTGATATCACATTATCTGACCTCCGTATAACATGTTCTAAAATCTTGTATAGGGGTTAATACGGGTTGAGATCTGGTGACTGTGAAGGCCATAGCATATGATGGACATTATTTTCATACTTATTAAACCATTCCCCCCCCTCGTGCCCTGCGTGGAAGCATCTGCATTCATTATGTTCCTTCACTTGGGTGTTTGCTTCAATTTGTCACCCATCTGTACATCAGGTTGTTGTGATGCAGCGTGGGCCTCGAGCAGATTGTACTCCTGCCTTTACCACCAAGCAATTACCTCTCATCTCTTCAAGCACCACCTCGGGCATCTTATTTCCTTTCATTTATTTATTTCTACACTAATGAGAGCTTACTGTTACTAATTCATGCACTTAACGACTTACTCAGGGGTGTTCTGAGGGGCAACACCTACCTCCTTTTCTTGCCTGCTATTACAAAAATGTTTCCCTATGTTTCTGTTGTTCCCCCTCCCCCCACCTCCCTTTATATATAAGAGTGTTTGAGTCTGTGCAGCGTTCCTGTACGGTACCTGGAGGTCTGGATCGGGTCACTACATGGCTCCAATAGACTTCAGCATGCCCTCCAGTTTACCGCTCTTATGCAGTGCCACCACGTCACTGCCGCCTCCAATACACTCCTCACCAATGAACACACGGGGGACCTACATTCAGTTCAATACAAGAGACACAGGGATGCAACTGATAAATATGCAGTCATTGATTTTCAGCGTCATGCAAAAGAGACGATACACATAGGCCAACCGTCAATGTAACGGTCCCTTTAACGTCTCTGGGTGACCGGATCCCGACAAACTATGTTAGAGTATGTTAGGGTGGGATAATGTGGCACCAGTTCTGGGATTTTTATACTGTTCCTGAGCTTTGCCCTCTGGTTGATTCAGTAGCACACAATAGACTATGCACGTTAGGCCTTTAACGTGTGAAGGACTTGAATGCAAAATCCCAAACTCCCACACATAAAAGAAAGCTTCACAGTTCATTTGGTCTTATGCAAAAGTCTGCCATAGTTGCCTTGCACTGGTTTCCTCCAGTAATAAGTCGTTTCCCAGTCTTTCTTATAGCTGCATTTTCTTTCCTTTGCAGTAGCTTCCATCATGTTCTGTCTAAATCTGCATAGCTCGTAACTTTCTGGTGACTTAGCAAAGATGGTGACAGGTTAACCCGCACTTGACCCTAGTGTGCACAGTACGACAAGGCCCTGTGACGACAGGCTTCCCTGCTTTCTTCACAGCCACTGGAGAAGATTTTTTGTACTGGTTTGACTTCTGAGAACTAGAGTTAATCAAAATGTGGGACATAGTCTCAATATGTGGGCTGTGGGACGATGGATAAAAATGCTGTGCAGTCTCACACACCCTACTTTAACACCTCTGGGTGTGTAAGGCCACTGTGGGTAATCTTGCACATCAATGAAAAAAACATGGCAATATTGGGTTTAATGTGACAATGTATGTTTATTTGTCAGGTATTCATTTAACAGGATTGCCCAGTAGTTGCCTCCTGTCTGAGCGTCTGTCTATAAGACGCCTACTGGTTTCCTCATATATTTTCCATTTACTTTACTATATTGAGGTATAATAATAAAGAATAATTTTTAATGGGTTGGGTTTAGGGTAACAGAGATGGCATTTCTCACAATTTTTGTATTTTTACAAACCAAACATGGAGAAACTAATCAGCAGATTAATACATAATAAAGTAATCAATAATTGTAGTCCAATCCTCAACCTCCTACAACAGTAAGAGCAACAATAGTGTGACACACAGCGTAACAGCCACAAGGGGGCATTGTTCTATACTGAATAAGTCTAATACTTTAATACATTTACTGATTATACTAGTAACACCTTCAGTGCAGGACTTTTATTTGTAACAAAGTATTTTTGAAGTGTGGTATTATTAGTACTTTTACTTAAATGACGATCTGAATACTTCCTCCACCATTGCATATACTCAGAGGATTTTATAGTTTCCACTCTCTCTCTCTCTCTCTCTAAACCTCACACACACACACACACACACACACACACACATATATATAGTTGGTTTCATCAGTCATAAATCTCCACTGTCTGTCAGTGAGCTGGTATCATGTTGCTTGGTGCGCACTTCCTCTTGGATACTCCCTGACTGATTTCATAATGCCATCATAAAGCTAACCTTGCTACAGGTTCCTTCAGTTTAACCACTGACAGTCCTCACTAGAAACTAAAGGTTCGCATTGATCCTTTTGTCCACAGGAACAGTTCCCCTGTCAGAGCGGCTCTCCCATTGTTGACACTATGACAAAGCAGCCGTGTGTTTACCGTGCGGGCTCCGGTCAGCTCCAGGAAGTAGTCTTGCAGGCTGTCCATGTCGCTGCGTCCGCTAATGTCGATGTACTCCAAATGTCCCGGCTTGAATTTGTATTTTGACAAAACGTCTTTAGCCATGATGCAGTAGGAGCACGTGGGCTTCATGAACAGCACCACTTTGTCTCCTTTGATTTTGGTGTCCACGAACTGCTGCGCCATTTTAAGTGTTCAGAAGATCAGAGAGCGAAAGTGGGATCGGTGGGAGAGAGGGGAAAGATGATGCCTGCGGTTTGTCAATTATGGTAATGAGGGTGACGTCGAACGACAGCCCCCGCCCCCTTCTTAAAGAGGTACCGCGCAAGCTCGCGTGTGCAGTAAGCGCGTGCACAAGCGAAGGATTTCTTCTTTCTTTTTTTACACCAGTTTATCCAACTGATAATGCAGCTTTGATTTAGGGCTGCCTGGGAGGCAAAGTTCCTGTAGTTTAGGTATTGGTGCCATCTCACGTAACAAGTAACAGATAGACATAAATATTGTATTACTGTGCTACAGGACCCTTTACAGATGTACATGAAACTACAATATCAGTATGTGACAACAGTCTGAAGAGAGATGTGAATGTTTTGAAGGGCACTGTATATGAGAGGATAAACCCCCTTCATCATGTCACAGACTGATAGCTGGTGGTCTTTCTACCCTGTTGTACAAACAGCAGCATTTATGATCTAGTGTGTGCATATAAACAATCTGAAATGAATGGAAAGGACACAACAACAAAAGACATTTTCCAGGTAAAACTAAATTGATTTTTTATTGAAATGTTTTACATTTTCACATGGGCAGGATCAGATTTCACACTTGTGAAAGTGGTTTCTCATATCTAAACACTGCCAGGGCAATTCTTTACTTTGTCGCTTCCTCATTAAGACTCTTGATCAAACCACTCCCCCCCCCTTCCTCTCACCACAATGAGCCATGTAATGCTATTTCATGTCGCTCAGACCCAATTTAAGTAAATCTGTCTTTGATAAAGAGACATTATTGGAAGGCTGAGAAGAGGACACAAGTGAAGGATAACACCATAAAGGCTGCACGTGAAGCCCTGGTCTCCAACATAAATTTGTTGAAGTGGTCCTTTGTGACGCTCTAAATTCTGGGAAATTACTATTGCAAGGGAAAACAGGAAAAATAAACCCCGAGACTGACCCTGTAGCCCACAGCCGTGGTAAGTGTAGATCTCGAGTATATCCTGAACTCCTGAGGACATTATTTAATCTACTGTTGTGACACATCCAAGATACAAGTGCTGATTTTCTGTCCAAAATAACTTGAGAGAAGTAACTTTAGGCAAGTTTGCAATTATGCTAAATTAATTCTGACAGCCGAACAAAACAGCCAGTCTGCTGCAGAGACTGACTGTTTCCTGGAATGCCACAACCAAAAAATACGTGAACTAGAACTGGCCGATATTTACTTAAATCGTCATTTCTGGGGGGAAACAATGTGGCCCTATTTTTTTCCAATACTGGAAACTCTTACATGTCAACACTAGCTGAAAACATGTGAGAGCAGACCGCTAAAGGGGCCGACACCTTTCAGTAGCTGATCTTTGTTCAGTTCCTCTTCACATCCCCAAATGTAATGGCGTTTTACTTTTTCTTCACTGAATGAGACATATATTCCAGTTTCAATGTCTCCTCAAATTAAGCCCCGATCAGAAATTGTACTCCATGGATGCAGTACCAGAAACGTATTTAATTTTTGGCAAACATTCTAACACAGGTTTGTAAACAAATTTTCCCTTGTTGAAATAAAGACTTTTCATAGAAGCCATTCATCCATCCATTGAACTAAATTGGTATCAATGTTTGAAAAAAAAAGGGAAAAAAAATCTATCCAGAAATCTTTAACCTCTCTGCAGAACTCAAACTGAGAATCAAATACATCTGACATTGTGATACAGATTAGTCCTCTGGTGGATGACGAGTTTTCTCTTCTTTCTAAAACAGAAACAGACTGTTTGCCGCTGGATAAAGCTGAGAGAGGTGGGCGCAGTCGTTTCCAGGGTCATGACGTGAACCATTCTGGAAAATAAGGATCTTCTATATCTCTTCAATTAAGATCAGGTACTGTTACTCCAGCCAGGCTGATCCTGAGTGCCCTGGCTGGTCAAACACTATAGCAGCTTTTTTTGTTTGTTTTTCATGTTTCTCACTTTTTTCTCCACATTTCTATTTTTTCCTTTCACCTGTCACACCACATAAAGCACAACCATAACATAACACACACACACACACACACACACACACAAAAAACACACTCATACAATTTGTAACACTCCTTCCAGACTTAACATCCCTTCCTCCTTCCAGCACTCAGACATGCAGGCACGCACGCACACATAACCTGTTTCCAGGCAGTTATAGTTCCTTTGTGTAGCCTGTGGACCCTAAGGGTCGGCCTAACTCGGCGTTTCCGAGTGTAAACACCTTAAGGCACCCATAATGCACCATGGACACTAAACACTGTTGGTGCGGGGAATACTGCCCCTTATTGATAGGGGATCATACTCCTTTAGTTACCCCACCCTCACCACCCAACATCGCCATTACAACTACATTTACAATCCATGCACACATACGGTTGTTGCTTCTCAATCAGCTCAAGTGATTTCTCCTGCCTGTCTTATTTCCTTCCTCTTCAGACTCAGACTCAGCATTGACAGCAATGTGCTGAAACAAGCTTATCCACTACAGTTTCTATGAAAAGAGAGGAAATGAGGCAGGAGGGACATCTTTGCCAAATGAGATGACATAATGGATCTTGCGTGCAAAATGGCTTCACAAAGTCAAAACACATAAGGCCCGCGGTAATTTTTTTGCATTGTTTTCAACAAAAGTTAAACAATATATCATCTGTGGACTCTTCTTTTGCACTACGAGTCCCAAAATAAATAGATCTCCCTCTTTTTTTAACTTAAATATATTGTTAATATTTTCTCTGATGCTCAAAAATACTTTTTTTGTTCTTTTTTTGCCTGAAGATAAAGTCCTTCAAAGGTTAGAAGAGTTGAAGTATTTCCCCAAACCCGTTCACACATGCAGGCAGCCCCTTCCAGTGGTCCAGTGGTATGAAATTCCACAGGAGCTCATTGAGAAAGAAAAATACAGAGAAAGCAAAAGACGGGGGGTAAAAATCAAAGTGAGATTCTCAAGATTGCAGGCAACAATGAAGCCAGTGGAATCAAAGATCGGAAAAAAAAGGAAGGAATGAAGAAGGATGATGGGAAAAGGGAAGGAAGAGAGGTGGGAGGGGGGGCTGTTGTGGAGGCAGTAACTGAAGGGGTGTTAAATAACAGCCAGTTGGACACCCCCTCCTGGTTCAACACGCCGTTCTCAATACTGATTAGTGAAGATGTTGTGTGCTCTCAGCACCAAGCCTGGGCTCTGCGCTGGTCAAAATCAGCTATTAGCCGCTTGATGTGGGCCAGCTTGTTGTGCAGGTACTCGCAGCGCTGTTTCTCCTCGTGGTAGTTGGGGCTGCGCTGTAAAACAAACACACACACATAACATCAGACAAATCAGGGTTTTTGAGGCCCATTACCGTTCACTGGGTCCATTTTAAGCCTTATGTTTTTATCGCAGCCTTATTTAACTACACTGTAATAAGTATAATAGGTATTAGTATTAAAGTCAAGTATTCAAAATAATTAATTCATTATATAAAATAAACAATATTGGCAGGCAACATGTGCAACATATGCCACCCCCTATATTTTTGACATCATGTCACAGGCCGGAGGGGTGGGGTTGGCAGGATGGAAATGGCCGGCAGTTTGAGACCCCTGATCAAAATGTTTGTGGTCTATTAAAAACACAAAAACAGAAGCCTATATAACAACTTACTTGTTTCATCTTTTTGTACTCTTTCAAGACTTCTTCTTGCACCTTCTGTAGAATAAAAAATAAAAATAATCCCTTTTAATGCAAATGCCCATCATTTATAAATAAGACAACATAAGATGCATGCACTAACGCTGTAACAGGAAAAAGTGTGGGTGGGTGAAAATGTTGTGAATCCAACATTTTGCTCATATAGAAATTTTAAAGCTCTATGTGATAACTTGGCACAGTAGCTGCACCATACACAGTACAGTGTGCATAGTGACCTGGTATTCTTTGGTGCCAGGTGCCAGCTTCCGGCACTGGGCATCCAGCTGGGTAAACCGGCGGGTGATGTTCTCCACGCGGGCGTGTAGAAGGCGATACTCATCATACTCTGCATTGAAGTCATCCTTGTAGCTTTGTCGCTGGTCAATGGACATCAACGGCATGTACTTCCTGTAAACACAGCAAAGGAAATTTAACTCATGGATTCTTTTGAAAGTGTTTGTTGTTATGTGCAAGACCACAACCAGCATGACACCACGTGTAAACCTTTCCCTAACTTTCCTTATTTTGACACCCCGCTAATGGTCATATTTAAAGGAAGGTGGGAACCCCGTTGAACATCTGTTAGCTTCTCCATTTCTGATGTGATGGATAACATACACTCGTCACCAATGACGTAAAAAGTGCGAAAGTATAGCGATGAATGAATTCCAGAAAGCACAAATGTACAAAACATCTGTGTTTATTGCTGCATTTCCTGTGTCCTAATTCTCCAGCTTGTGTCTGTTCTCAACATCCTGTTTAGTGACATTCAAATGGTTGACTATAAGTCACTGGTAACTGTGAAATGAGAGAACTGAAAGGTAAAGAGGGCCATGCTGTAAAAGTGGAAACTTTGAGGTATATCAAGGTTACTCACACTACATAGTCAGGCATCTCGACTGTGGAGGAGAATTCAGTGGACTGGACTGGCTTCTCTTTATCTGAAGAATCTGAGGAGAAAGAGAATTTAAATACTGCACTGATCATCCATATTACACAGGATGCACTGACGATTGCATATAGCAGCGTGGTTAACAAATTCAAAATGATGAAATGCAAAATGTGCAAGCATTTAGTTTTATGTATCGTAAGTGAGCCTTTAAGAGCGATCATTTTCATTCAATTTATCTTTATTTTTTTAAATCTATTTTGTCAATTAGAGAGAGAAGTAGATTGGCTGAGGAGTGCTACTTTATGAACGCAGGTATCAGAAACAGGTACTCTTTAGATCCGAGGACATGTCATGAGACCAAAAAAAGAATGAGAGGGGTTAGACTTGTACTTCACTTTGTGATCAATAATAACCAAAGGATACCAAGGGACACTGCTTTGCAAAAATTTAAAACCCCAGATGGGCTTAACATCTACGTGCTTCATGTCACAGCCAATTGTTTTACCTTTTGATGCTTTTTGTATTCTGGGGGGGATTTTATATGCACTAGTTTTGACACAGTAGTGGTGGTGGGGTCTGCTATCCAGTCAAATATGCTGACACCAAAATGAACAGACAGCAAATGATGCATACCTGTTCTAAAAATAGATTGAACCTAGCATTAGCATATTCTTGCTGCAAACAGACTGTGAGAAAGTAAAGTCTCTCAAACTGTAACCACAACAGTCACACTATCAAGTAACCCAGAACAACAGAGTAAAGAAGAGCTCAGATCAATGCCTCAACATGTTCAGACAACATCCAGTGCATGAGCGTAATCAAAGATCAAACTGTATGTGATTGGGAGGGAGCTGTAAGAGACAGTACAGAGATAAACACTGAAACATGGTGATTAACAATCCAAAGTCTGAAAGATAAACTATCTGGAAACTTGGACAGAGTAGGCCTGTGAGTCACAAGGCATTCAAGCGGCATCAATGCTGCTTGAATTAGTGAGTCCACACACACACACACACACACACACACACACACACACACACACACTATTTATATATGTTGATCTTTCCACCAAATAGAGGTGAAAGCAGCACTTCTACATGACTTTTCTAGACAACATTAAAGCTACCTGAATAAATGTATGGCCACTAGGGGGCAGAGTAACCCCAAAACAAGCTGACAGAGCCTGAGATATTATAACCTTTTTGAGGACTTTGCGCCCAACATGTTAGCAAAGCTATGACCTATTTAAGAATCTAGCATACACAAAGAAGTGTTATCTCATTTTGTCATTTTAACTTGTCATAGCAGGAAAAGCACAGCTAAATTGAACTGTTCATTTAATTATTCACTCGTGTGCTTTTCCTACGGTGTCATGTCAAAATGTCTTCACTGAAAAAGGCCTGTTGGAGTCGTGTTTCTGGCCACCAGGAACATTTTTTATTCAGTATCCATTTAGCATTTTTTGGTTTCTCCACCAACTCCTGAGAAAATATATAGATTCAGCAGCCAGCTGTCTGTGGGTTTTGACACAATTAACAACCTTTTTTCCATTACATGTAGTAAATAAATTAATTGTGGTCATATATAACATTATTTTGATTAAATATGTCATTAAAGAAGTCCCCTTAACTAAATGACCACGCGCTGATTAAGTAAATACGTGCTGCCTGTGAGCATGGAAAACAAAATCTGGTGGGGTCATTTAAATCTTGATGCTGATGTTTAATAAGACAGACACACACCTTGATCTTTTTGAGGATTCTTGTCGATAACTTCTCTGCTCTCTTCCTCAGCACTGCGCCTCTTTTTGGCTCTACGAGTCTCTTCAGCCTGCTCTGCTACAATGGGAGGACTTCTGCTGCTTCTTTCCGTCTGTTTCCCTTTCTCCCTCTCTCGATCCTTCTCTTTGTGCTTCTTGGATTTTTTCTTCTTTTTAGTACTGCTGGACAAAGGAGGGCTGGTGATGACGGTAGAGGTAACTGTGAGTGAGGTGCAGGGAGGAGGAGGAGGCGGCGGAGGAGGGGGGCTGGGGGAGGTGGCTGGTCTGGGGACAGGGGCAGGGTGCCTATAGCGGTCCTGCAAGGCCCTATCTGAGGAAAAGGGGCTGGGTGAAGGGTCTCTGCAGGAGGAACTCTGGTCCATGGGCAGGTCTTGGGTGCCACAGCCCTCCGGGGTGCTGGGGGAGTTGGAGTTGGAGGCTGGGCTGGGCTGCTGGTGTGAAGGTGCAGGAGGGTGGGAGGAGATGGGGAGATGGGTGGGAGGGCCCGAGGTGATGTTGGAGGGTAGGGACGAGCGTTTAGTGCTGTGGCTGCCCTCGTCCTCACGGCGGTCAGAGGAAGAGGAGGATGAAGATGCGGCTGGCCCTCGATTGCTGAGGTGGGAGATGCGGGCTTTCTTGGGCGCCAAAGGATCGATGAAGTCAAAGTCTGGCTGGCGCTTCTGGAAGAAAACACACAGAATTTAGCCTGAAATTGCATACATCACTGTGGGAATGTGTGTGTTAGTGTTTATTTGTTCAGATACCTGGGGGGATGTGGGGACACTGTCTTTGGGAGAACTGCTAGATGAGAGGGTCTCAGTAGGAAGACCTAATTTGCTGTTAAAGAAAGGAAAGAGTGTCAGTGGGGAATGAATGGTGTAGCATAAAAATCATAATCATACTCCTATTAAGGTATTGCCCTTATATTAAACTCACAGCTCATGCAGTATGCATCTACACTTTCCATCTAACTTACAGCAGTTGCAACTGGACATGCCCACAAGGACAAAGAAGAAGATTGCAAGCTAGCAAACAAATGTAAACAATGCAAAATTTCAAATGTTTAAAAGAAGCTGTTTTGCAATGTTTTATGAGTAAGGAAATGCACTAAGCATGTTTGTCAGGCCTTGTACTGATCGTTTACAACACAACTCCACAGGGCACCTTAAACTGGAAGAACGTACAATAAATGGTCGCACAACCTGTAAAAACTTTCAAACTGTTCTATTAGTACTTACGCAACATAATGCATATCTATCTACAAGCCATTTTGTCCTCTCCCTGTATTAAAATGGGGCAGACTAATAGTATGAACGCCTAACAATATGTCGTAATCCAGCCCCCTAAATGACAGCCACAAGGTTTAGCTCACAAGATTTATGTGGAATTGCATTGAACTGCATTGTTGTATGTTATTTTTGCCATGTCTAACATTAGAAAACATATTTCTAACTGTAAAAATAAGACCTACTGGCATACTACATGGGCTATTGTTCGACTTCAAAATGCTGAACTGAAAAGTGATAGTTAAAAGTTAGTTTAGTCCTTTCTAGACCACAGCTTATGTTAGTGCTCCAATGATGGCAAGTTTTCCCCACACAGACCACTCTGAACAAAACAAAATAAATTCAATAAAAAATATTTAAAACCAACATTAACTAACAAATCTGTGTTCAGCACTAAGGGAATAGGCTACACAGGCCACTATGACTAGTTCTAGCAAATGCTTTATTTGTTCAAGTATGTATGTATATAAGCTCAGAATGTAAGTAAAAAGCCTAATAGGCCATTTCTGTACCGAGCCAGGATCCGGTCAACCTGGGACTTCTCATCCTCAGAGTAGCCAGGCCAGTCTCGCTGGACATCACGATATATAAAGTCCTTCAATGAGTATGTGTTGTCTTTGGGGTTCAGGTTTGCCACCTGTTTGTCACACACACACACACACACACACACACACACACACACACACACACACACACACACACACACACACACACACACACACACACACACACACACACACACACAAAGACAAACACAAAGACAGAGTTAAAAAGTGAAACTATGACAGCCTGATGTATACAACATGTACAGAACCTGAGCATTTCCTGTGCTGGTCAAACATCTGTGCATGCAAATAATGTATAACGATGTGGTTTGTTTCGTGTCAAAGTGAATGAACCCTTTATGCTGTGAACCGGATTTCCTTGGGCAGATTTGTGTGCTTCGATCTCATGCTTAAGAAGGGTAAGGGGATCAAATTAGACACCTGGAGAACACCCGTCTTAAGTCCAGGTAAAATTAAAAAAGACGTTTTGACCCTTTAAGCTTACGTCCACAGTCATATTGGACCTCTATTTAACAATTCATGCCAAAATATTACAAAAACATTTTATTTTTATTTGAAATCCAATCATTTTGTCTTCCTCTAAAACTAAATGTGACACATTCCAAAGTAAGCATAAACTAACCAATTTCAACCAATAACACGGCATTCACCTGTCAATCATTCTTCAATTTATAGCAACACAGAGCTAAATTCATTAGTTAGGTAGCTAGCTAACAGCATGGCTCGCTACCAGAGCAGAGAGTTTTGGGGGGCTGGACCTCACTGATTGCTGTACAAAAAACAACTTTTATCAGTGATTTGGGTGAAACTGTGCCTCAACTCTGCTAACTGCCGCTGTCATTGTGCAACAGAACGGGGCTCAGCAGCTTCCCAGTAAACACAGCCCCCAAGACAGACAGGCCAGTTTCACGACAGCGGCACAGAGGTGATTTATGGAGTTTCAGATTGACTAAAAGAAGCTGTCACCAACAGTAATGTTAGATGCCGTTAGCTAGTTCTCGCGCAGCTAACATTGGCTGTCTTAGCCATGGGGTGCCAGGACCCCAAGCCGGCCTCTGTACTTTATTCCTTGCTGTCAAATGGTCCTCCGTCAGCATTGGACGCTGCCTTCAGTCCCGGTCTGAACGTGCTGTTCACTGGGAGCTCCTAGTCCAGCAGAGTTAGCTAATGGGTCAGCTACAGCTGCTTGACCGGGGGTGGCATAACACACAGTGCTAATGGCTACCATAAAAAGTCCCTCCCTAGCCACCTGTTTTTACAGGAAATATGTAAATATGTACAATATCAGCTTTTGTAAAAACAACAGTTTGTTCTGTATAATGGAAGACGTGTAAATACTTATCACTGGTTCACTTCCATTTTAAGCTGCTGCCTTATATTGACGAAGAATATTAAGGCAATCAAAAAAAGCCACAAAAAGCAATACAGTACCTGTTGCAGGGTGGTCCCCAATGAGTTTCGGTCTTTCTGGTTGATACCGTCCCGCTGTAAACGGGCAAGCACTTCCAGCTTTTTGTAAGACCTCAGCGCCAGCAGGTGGACGATGCGGTCCCGGAACGGCCGCTGGGACACAGGGTTATTGGAAAGGCACTTGCGAATAGTGTTGGCTGGGTTTATGGGTGTGGAGCGCTTGCGCTCTGGGACCACCTCTGTGTTTGACAGCGCCGGCTTACGGATATGGACTTGCTTTCCTGAAGATAGACGAAAAAGAAAATTATTAAAAGCCTCTTCTCTGCAGGGACATTCATCATCATGAGTTTTTGTGTTGTCACATAGTTGCTCAAAAACACTCCTCTTTACCATCTTCCAACTCATTGAAGCCAGTCTCATATCTACAAACACCACCACACTCCCGTGACAATATAAATAGGAGCTTAAGGACATGCAGAGTTTAATTCCACCCAACAACTCTGTGGCATCAACCTCAAAGCAGACAAATTCCCCTTTGCCTTTAGTTTCAGATGGCCACAAACACTGCATGCTTGAAAAGAAGCCAATGAGCTAAGACTTTTACAAGACAGTGTTAATGAAACAAATCAGCAATATTTGACTGAGGAAGTTGCAATAGCCAAGTCAAGCAAACCAAATTTCAAATGAACCTTGGTAATCTGATCTAAAGGTTACACAAGGTGGCGGTGCCAATAACCATCAGCTTTTGAAGCAAAGAGGTCCCAGTTGCGCTAATGTTAATGCCAAATACCAGAGATACCAGAGAGTCACAAGAGAAGAGGTCAGGATTTAGCTAGACTGTATACTGGACTGCAGTTCTCTGTATCAACTAAGATTAGTTTGAAAAACTGATTTACATGAAAGAGAGGTAATTAGAACCCAAGAAACTTCTGCTCTGTGTTGCTGAGCCATGTGCGTAGTCTGCACATTCCCCTATACAGCTTCACAGTCATGAAATTCTAAAGCTCTTTAAAAGATTAAGGTTAGAGAGAGGAAGAGAAAGGAAAAACTCCCCCTCCCTCCTTGTCAAAAAGCAGAGACTAGGAGCAATGGGAGGAGGTGTAAGCTTACACACTTTTCATTGTCTAACAGGCCAAAGAAAGATTGCTGCAGGTGAAAAGCTTGTGTAATAAAGTTTTCCTCTGAGACTTTTCCTTTTTGGTTTTGAATTCAAAATTTAGTTTTGCTGATTTAGCGACTTTCCAGACCCTCTTGGCCAATATACTTCTAAAAAAAAAAAAAAGACTAGTGCCAAATTTAGCTATTTATTCGGACCATCAGGGAAAAGGCGAGAAATGTGTTCAAATATATTGTAATGTAATTCATTCCCATACTCTCCCATGCTTCTCAGACCACAGTCCAGGATGGACACCAGGGTCTCTGCCTCTTGCACTGTGCACTGCACAGGCAGTCAATAGGTGTGGTATGTGAGGCATAATTGATTTGACCTTCTCTCTCCAGATCTCTGGACTAGGATGTTTCATTAGCTTATTTGTACATAGTTTGCTTGAGCTTGTAAATATTTAAAGTGTTTATTTGATCTTCTCTCTCCCTTTGTAGATTTTTTTTACCTTAAACTCACTACAAGGAAGTCATATTTTGAGAATATCTGACTAAATAATTCATGTGTATATGTAAATTTCTATTGCTGTATACCAATCAGAAACAGGTTTGCATTTGCACTTCAGTTTGAAGTGATGCATTTTTTGATCAAACAGTTAGAAATACAGAAACTAAACCAATGACCAAAAGCATGATGAAAACTAATTGTGACCAAACACCTCGGGTGATGTCAGTGTTTTATTCTAATACAAGTGCAAGAAACGACTAGCAGAACTTCCATGGCGGAGTAGACTGAATCAATTAAGTGATGTGAGTAACTAATACAAAGTTATTAAAATTATATTAATTACGTAGAATGACAAGAAAACTTTAGTTTGGGACAACGGTTGTTAAGTCTGGAACAGTACTGAGTAAGAATTTGAAGTAATTTGATAGAGTAAGAATTTGGGACAGTAATTTTGGGCCTTGTTACAAAGATAAAAATACAAGTTACAGTTACCTGAAATTAACAATCTGTGAAAACAAGAAGCTAAAGGCCCCTTTTGCATTAGTAAGTAGGGTGCTCACTCCAAACCAGCTGCAACAAGCTCCTGTCCCACCCCTTTTCTCTGCTGTTCCTCTCGTTTCCCAGTTTCTATCTGGGCCAGTGTATGCAAATATGTCCCCAGGGCCCAGAAAGACAGGCGTGAGGTGGCTTTATCTCACTTAAAAAAAATTTGTGGATTGAGCTAGTCTCTTGATTCTGGTTTAACTAAGGAGATCTTTGGGCTTAGATCTAACAAACTAGATTTGACTATAAAAATGACTCAATTTCTTTTGTATTGTGGATAAAATATTGGGTCTCCTCAAACTGAAAAACATAGTTGTCTGAGACCTGGGCCTTTTAGGAGTGAGTATGCAGTTTTTTTTAAAACACACCTGTTGGATGAGGTCATCGCATCACTCAAGCAGACACAAATAAATAGCAACAGAGTCATTTCTAGAGGTATAGAGTATCAAGAGTTAGTTTTGTTCATAAATGAAAAGGAAATGATGTACAACTATATTTTGACAGGTTTCTATACGATATAAGAATAGGTGGAAACACCTGTCACCTGAATTTAAAGTACAGACAATCTGCTGAGCATTTCTGTCTGCATTTTCTCGCACATATTTCCTTTAATGGCTGCATACATAGTCATTACATCAGGTGTTTTGTTGCACGTCCCTTGTCCTACCTGCCCAGGGTTGGATAAGACATATCAGTACGGCTAGAGAGAGTGACAAGCCAAATCAGATTATCAAAGATTTATTTTTCTGTTCAGCTTGTGCGACTCAAATCCTGGCACCAGGTGGCGCAGTGGACAGGAAACTGGTCTACATGTGTTTGTCCATCAAGTGTAAGGGACACATAAAAAGTAAGGTCTACTTGGTTGCAAGTGATAGATGTTAAACACAAGCAGCCACTAGTGCCTGTACTGTGTACACTTCTGTGTATCACTCTGGCAATAAAACAGCCAGCCGCCACCATTGGCCCTCATCAGTCAGACTGTTAATCTGGAAAAGACTGAGATGGCAAAATGGCTTAGTCAGTCGCAATAATGGCTTTGAATGGAGTCAGGTTGTCAGCTTTCACCTATTCAGTCTCTCAAAAGGGGCAGAGTTTGAAAAGAGAAAAGAGGCGTTGATAGCACGTAAAGCACCGCTGGTGTTCGGAGATCCAATATGGCATCTGACTGTGGCAGGTGCAAAAGTAAGGCTGATAAGGGCCTTACCTCTATACTGGCCCCCAGGTTTGATGACTTTGGTCCCACGTTCACGTGTGTCCTCGGCAGCCTGGGTCATGCGTTCCCGGGTCACCTGGTAGGAGTCATTAGTGGCACACACGGTGACCTTGTCCTGTACTGTTGCCAACAATGCCAGGTGTGAGGCCCCTGAGCTGGAGACAAAGAAAGAAATGTGAGGCAGAGAGGGATTAACTTCTAGCAATGTGTGGTAAGACAGCAGTAGTTGATTCAGCTGACCAGTGATTATCATTACCTTGACACATACTGATGGATGCAATCAAAGCTTCCCTGTGGGTTGTCCTTGCCCACGTTAGACAGATAGAAATCAAAATTGTGGAAGGTGTCAGAGGAGGAATCTGTCTTGGGAATTTTAATGCGCTGTAAAAACGAGATGGAGAATAAAACAACTTATAGCATGTATTCACATCTGAACTAACTAAGGAGAGATGGATAATCAAATACAAGTGGTTAATTTATCATTATAAAAACTGCCATAAACTGCTATACCCAGGTGGTAAAACACCTTCAAATATTGCCTGGGGTTTTTCCTTGCAGTTTAGTGTGCATGCACATACTGTAATGAGGCAGTGTCTACATCTGAGCTATGGGCTTTGATGTGAACAACATGGGAGCTAGCATGTGAAGGAAGGTCTCTGAGGTCTCAGCTGCTAAGGGGAGGCTGTATGCATGTGCATCACGGACTAGTGCAAGCAGTGCAAAACAGTGTTTATAGTCTTCAGAAGTTTGTGCCTCTCTAAACGGCCTAGCAGACAGTTTCTACAAATCCTAAAATCAATGACCACATTAAAACTAGCTTTAAAATCTTATACGGGTGCATGGTGAATTTTACACTGTTTTATTATACCATGATTAGTGTATAATCCGATCATTCAATGAATAAACAACTGATACTGCTATAATGGGCCAATACTGGTGACATAGTTATGGGTAAACTGAGTAGTATTTGAGTAGCTGATTAACTTGACCAAGTCAGTGGTTTTATTGGTAATACACTCATATGGGGGTATCTCAATCAATAACGAGTAAAACTCCATAGAGCAAAAACAGTAAATGAACAAATTAATAGAGGAGTACATAAATAACGTGTCATTAATGGACTTACCCCCTGGAGTCCCTTGAATTGTATCGTTGGCCGCAAAGAAGGTACATTCTGAAAGTGAAGAAAATCAACAGTTGAACCCCTCGTTACCCCAGTTTAACATCTACACAATGTAAAATTAAGAAAGTTTTGGTCTAGAACCCGCAGAACATGTTATACTATTTAACTGACACATTTGGTTGTAGAAACAGCTGAGCCTTATGGTCCAGAAAGCATAGCCCATGCCTTCAGTGCCTGTGTCAGAACTAGGCAGTAAACCCGAAGAGCCAGCAAAGCAGACAACCTCTCTTGTTTTCAAACTGTGAATCTGTTGAACAGTGTTGTGTTATGCCAAGAATAGGAAACGTGTGATGCACAACAGCGACTGAGGGTTATTTTCATCATTTGAAATCTTATTGGGTCAATAAAATGTCAGAAAAGAGGTTTTTTTTAAAAAAGGTCTAAAACGTGTATATATTTGTTTACAATCCTATTAAACTAAAAGGCAGCAACTCCTCCCCAGAGAGGAGAGGCTCGAAATAGGGGATGTTTGGCATGCTTGCTTAAAAAAAAAAGTTAAATGATGAATCAATTATAAAAACAGCTGTGTGTTTTTTCTGTTGATAATCTGGCACTAGTGGGCTGGCACGTGCTGCAGAAATCATGGGTGACTGTCAGCCACAAATACCTGATGACCGTCCACTAGCAGCCAAAACTGGATGCCTCTAAGCTCTTAAGTTTAAGCCTTAAAAGAAACTATCTGAGGCAACTTTGTCCTTTCTCATCTTTCCAAGTGGTTAGGAGGTAGGTGGTAGTTAAATTGTTTGCTTTTATCGGAACACAAGCACTGAAACTTGGACAACACTCAAATACAGCTGATATTTTGAAGAGGATATTCTTGTAATGTCTTTGTTTGGTGTAGGTTTGCAGGTTTTTTGTTGATGGCTACTTGAAACGGAGTCGACAGCCACAAATATGCAGCGGCTGCTCTGGTGCAGTACAGGTTAGGGTAGGAACACACAGGACTCCTGGCTTCGTCATACAGCTGAAGCCAACAGAAGAACCAGTTGGGTAAATCATAGACTTATGAAATGTTCTGGTTTAAGTGGCAACTTAGGAACTTACATTCCTGGACATTAATATATGCTTGCTAAAGTGCAAGAAGTTGCAGATATAAGGATACAATGTATGCTTTTTTTAGACTGAAAGCACCATGTCATGGTCGTTAAAGCTAAGCTACTCCAAGCCACTGACTGACTCCCTCCCCCACTATCCATACACTCACTCACTCACACAGTTCTGATCACATTTCACATCACCACAGAAAGACAAAGATAGCCAGCTTCCATAGTCCGATGACTGGTTGAGCTACAACACACGTTACCGAGAGGGAGAGAGAAACAAAAAGCAGGCAGTTTTGGCTGCTCAGTCAGCAAGAGATGGCAGGCTGCCGTTCAATGCAGCGTACCAACATTACCACATCCAATAAGGTTGTAGCATGGGCTGTCACAAAATAATTAATTCAACTTAACGATGACTTGGTTTTGCCAGTTGTCACAAAGACTAAATAATTGTTTTAAATTGTGGTACTTTAAAGGCAACCTCTTTATTATATGGGGCTGAGCAAAAGTTCCACATACAGTGGTGTGAGAGCAGTGTGTGGCATACATACAGACATGTGCCATAAAAATCAGTCACAGAGACCTCTGAACACTACAGCCCAGTGCTACAGTGCATCAGCTCCAAGACCTAGGCCCAGTCAGTGTGTTATGTAATGGCGTTGTTGTTGGCAGAGTTTCGGTCAGGTAACTTGGCTTTTTAGGCCTCTGCAACTCTAGACTGCAGAGGGCTCTCCAGATTAGTTCACCTGTGTAGCACCTCAACAAGATTACATCATTTGTACAGTTCAAGATTAACAAACTATATTTAATCTGCACAGTAATGCAGTGCCCTATTAGCACACTTAGCTTCAAAAGCTTCTAAATGACTGGTGGTGTCAAGCTCAGGGGTGAAGCGCAGTTAAATGAAGTAGTTTTAGAGCTAAAAAGTACATGAATAAATTATGTTTTGAACAAAATGACCCAAATAGCAAGAACAATTATCATATTATCTTTAAAAATAATAGAGGATTTGACGCTATCTAATATCATATATTATCTGTAACTGCTGGCCTACACATGCAGCTTCATGTCAATAAGAGTATGCAAAAATGCAGCAAAACCAAGATTAAATATTTGTTCCGTGTAAACCTCTGAGGCACTTGGTCATATACATCCTGTACAGTGTGGCAGCTCGTTTTCACTGCAACGTTTTATGATTAAGTTAAATGGCTATAAAGGCTTGAGCCTGGCTGAGCTCCATATCCCTGCCAGGTTGTGGTGTTAGGATTTCTAACTAAAATTAAGCTAAAACTTCTACCCATATGGTAAACTGACCAATCACCGACTTGCTTCAAACGCCTCTAACTTGTTATCAAGTTACATTCGCCTTAATTTATCCGTACATTTCCACCCTGACGCAAATACAACATCGTCGAATGAGGCTTCATGTTAGATTAACTCAGCTGTTGTATTATCTTAGACAGTCTGTCTAGTGACGAGTGTACTCGTCGATATGAAATTACCACTTTCCTAATTTGGTCAAAGTAACGTTAGTTTGCCAAGAAAAAAAATGGACCTGGTTGGCCAGCACAGCACAGGGGGCTCAGACTAGCGTATCTAGAGCTAACGTAGGCTAATCAGAGTGTCTAACTTTACCAACAGGTTTTCTACAATAAATAACCCTTGTCAGTTCGTCAAACCTGGCCAGGGCGTAAGACTAAGGCCTAATTTACCACCTCCAGTTGATTAATGTAGTGACACAAGACTAATAAAATCAAAAAAACAAGCAGAAACTGGCTCTGTCAACAGCTTAGCTAACTTTGTAGCTTTTAGCTGTGCGTGGCAGTTGAGCTTCCCAGCTGAGACGAGCTGTGTCAGCCCGACAGTCCTGGCTGGTTTTAACTTCAATAAACGACCGTTTCACTCACCAGACACTTTTGGTGGCTCTCTATCGCTCTCAGTGCTGTTTCAGTCAATTTGACGTGTAATACGGTGACTCTGTCGGCGCTCTGTTGGCCACAATTTAATCCGTACCTCCCATCCTCGGAGAGCGCCGCCATCTTTACCAGCCCTCCACCATCGTCCCTTTGAGGCTGGAGCATTTAGCAGCCCAAGCTCCCTGTGCTCACTCTGGCCCGGGGAGGGACTACAACTGCTGCCTAAAGGGCTGACACTAGTGGATTGGTCTTGACTTGCTAGCTTGTTACTTTTTCTCTTTTCCCAACCACAGTGAACTTGCAGTATAGTATGTGTTAATTATTATTACTGAATTAGAACATTATTGTGCATAAAAAGTAAACCATGATTTGGTTTAACTACAGAACTGGGGTTAGCTACCCATTTACAGAACCAAGAATGCACAGGCTCCTATTTGTCTGTATTTGGTCTTTTAAAGCCTTATTAGAGGAAACATTCTAGTAGCTGGTTTCCCTTTCTCTGTAAACCCATAGCCCTCTCTCTCTCTCTCTCTCTCTCTCTCTCTCACACACACACACACACACACACACACACACACACACACACATAGTTATGCTACCTCTTGGCAAAACTGGCTCTGCCTGCCGTGTTTTGCTGACACGGTAGAACTAATTCTAGCCTAGTGAAACAGTTAAAGGTAGCTTTTGTAGACTGCAGTGTAAACTCAGGTTTGCTCAGATACAGTTCAGCAGGTATTGTAATAGTTATCAGCATAATGTGAATATATTTATTACAACCTTTTGCACATATTGTCTTTCTTAAAATAAGCTGCTTGAAGCACACTGTGAGGTGAATAAACTAATACGAAGTGCTCAGTGATAAAAAATCAAACACAATGCTTTTGGTCTTGTATTTCAACCACTTTTGGAACTATTCACATCCATTATGATTAAAGCTAGGACCATTTTTTTGACAGCCACCTACTTTGTGAACTACTTTGGCTTTATATTGGCCTACAATCATCTTTCATGTGGTTACTTTAATGATATGGGGTATAATGTGACATCAGCTCAATGGGCACAAGTGTGTGAGCCCCCCGTGAGCTGCACCTCCACTATCTCCTAGTGTCAGTCCCCTTGACCTGGTGATTAGAACTGCGTGTTTTGGTGTGGAGTAGCCTCGGGCTGGGTGGGGAAAGGCCTGTGTGAATCCAACAGATTACCATAGCTCCTCACCCCACCCATCCCCCTGACAAGTCACACATGCAAACACACACACACACACACACACACACACACACACACACACACACACACACACACACACACACAATTGAGACTTCATGCACATTAATTAACCCTTTGACAAATTCCTATTGCTCAAAATGAACCGCCCACACAGGTATTCAGTCGATTTAAAGATTAACACGTGCAGAATGTCAAATGTGAAATAACATTCAATGCCGTGAGCATTGCAATTGGAAGTACCCCTCATCTACCCAACAATAGTTAAACACAACCAAGACTGGGTTGACACTTTGCCTCAGAGCATTACATTTCTTCTGTTGTCTCTTGGTTTAAATGCAAATTTTTAATACTAAGTCTGTTCAATTCCAGAGGAGCTCTAGTTTGTCTGACTATTTACTTGCTGTGCAGACAATTAAATAAAACCTCTGGCGTGAATAGGACTAATTGATTTTAGATCTTCTGTGTTTACAGGTGTCACCTAATGGAAGCTCAAAAGCATGCTGTGAAGAAGACGTTTAAAGGACACACCCTTTGTTTAGGGATAAACTTTAAACACAGGAGCACGGATTACTTAACCGTGTTACCAGTTTGCTATGAAGACTGACCACTGACAATATGTAGTAAAATCTATTGTCTAGTTATTTTTTAAAGCATAGAGTCGTCACTCACTTCTTCTCTAAATTACTCGTCAGCACAGTTCTGTGTAATACCAGAGATTTTCTTCTACCTTACAAGCGATTCTGAATAACTACAGAGGTTAATCATTAATAGGTGAATTATTTGGCCAGGCTCCGATTTTGGTGCTAATCAGAGGCACATGTTTTAGGGACTGGAGCCTGAAATCAGTTACAGTGATAAAGATGTCCCCTTTCTGTTGCTAGATCAAAGGGTTTACATTTAAAGTTGCAGGGGTTTTATTTTCAGTCGTGGTTGCTCCTTCCCATGTGATCCTTTACTATCCTGCTAATGAAGTAAGCTCCAACAAGTAGGCTAGTGCCTTTACCCACACCCACTAAAATCTTTTCAGAGCCCAGCCTTTAATCATCAGTTTAACTATTCAAAGGTTCTTTATGCATTAAAGTGAATCATGAACACCATGCAGAATCATGCAGATATTGCTAACGATTGGAGCTAATTATTGCATTAGTTTTCTATCTACATTGCCAGTTGAATAATCAGATGGAAATACGTTTGCTTTGAAATATCTTATACAAGGTGTGGGCAACTTTTGTTGCAGAGACACAGACTGAACACAGGTCATTCAGTGGCAACTGGGTTGAAAAGTCAGATGCTACTGACGTGACTATAACTTATCTTGGCTCGTTGGGATAGTAGTTAAACAAATTAAATGAACTCTGCATTTAGATATAGGGTAGATGTAAGAACCAATAATGGATATTTGCCTAACTAGAGAACTGACTTGGTTCAACATTAAAGTTCACCTTAATATGTAAAATAGCTACAATAACATAGCTTAATTATAGTGTATAGTAAATACAAATAAAGTAAAGGGGAATTAAATGATCAACACCTACTCGCCACTGAGTAATTGCCCCATCATTAAAAAGTCTCCAGCAGTTTGGCTTACCTGTAGGTGACCTGTAATTGACACTAATAAGCAGGCATAGCAGTGGCGCAGTGGCTCATTAGCTAGCACTGTTGCCTCACAGCAACATCCGGGGTTGGATTTTATCCAGATGCTCCAGCTTCTTCATTCAGGACAAACACATGTACAACAGGTTAGCTCCAATTTGCCTCTTGGTTTTAAAGTGAATGTGTTTGGGTTTTGCTAGGGCTGACACCTAATAGTTGAGTAAACAGTTCCCATCAAACTCCGTTCGGGAGCTGCACCTTGTCTCCAGGACTAAAGTATTGGGGTATTGTTTCAACACAGACCTTTGCTATTATAACACAGGTTTGTTTACACTACTGGCATAGGACAATGAGCACCAGAACTGGAGCAGGGTGAGTGCACAACGGAACCGGGTTCACAGCATCCGAGAGCGACGGAGGCCAGGTGATGTACAGGTGCACCGTCCAGGACTCTGACAGGTTCATGTAGGGACAGGAGAGTCACGAAACAGGAGAGGAAAAATACATATATTTAGATAATTCAATGAATAGCATAAACATGTGACAACTAGTGAACAGATGGCTTTAACTAACAACTACAACTCTCTCAACTTTTTGCTAAGCTGTGTATGTAGATAAAGGACAAAAAATGTGTTAATGGCTCCCCTTTAGTCCCCATGTTAAAAGGCTTAAAATGTACAGGACCGATTTGTAGCACAAAGAGAGAAAAATGGACTCACCTTGACTTGATCTACCTGTTTGTGCAGTCACAAATGTATGCTACCATGCTGGGTGGGCAGCATCAACTTTTATAATATTATAGTATGTCAGTAAGTCATCAGAATTATCTCATCCTTCACAACTGTATTGTAGAAGTCCCCCTACTATATGCAGTATTCTTACAGGTTGACCCAAACAAACTTGATAAATTACACAACTGGCAATTTAGACTACTTTTCTAACAAAGTCACCCATAAGTTACTGTCATTTTCTACCATCTCAGTGTTTTTGTAGATTCGCTAACAGTACTACAGTTAAGCACATGCCACATGCACAGCTGCACAACAGCGGGTGTTGACCAAAGTAAAGAAAAATGATCATTATTTTTTAAAAGACACGTCTTATTAATGTATTTTTGCTTATATACTGTACCTACACAGAGGAGGCAGACTGTGTGTTTGCTTCGATGATGCTTGATGCTCAAACAAAAAGGTCAAAGGTGGGTGGACACTGTTTCTTTTTATGTGAAGATGAAACCATATTATTATCTCTACCTTTGTTGCTACTGTTTACATTCACCCAGACACAAATTCAAAAGATACACTGCAGAATTACTTCCTGGATGTATACACATCACGCAGTAAAAAAAAAGAAAAAGAAGAAAGAAAATGATGAACCCTGACTCTTTTGCATTATGATAATTTCACATAATCGCTTCTGTATAGTTACATATAGGCCTCTTATTTGTCTTCTTCATCTGCACAAGGGAGATAGGTTTTTGTGTTAAGGATTTCTGTACTGCCTTAAGTGATGCTGCCCACAGGCTCCTTGACCACCAGTGAACCACATGACAAGGATTAAACCAATAATGCTTTAAACTGCTTTGCATTATGCCATGAAAAGGGGTGCTCAGCATGGATCAGGTAGCTTGTGTAAAAAAAGCCTTTATATATAGGTGAGTGAGGCACTCACAACAAAACAACACATGTTTAGGAGTAAATATAATCAAAAAATCTGAATTGACTTAAATACTGATAATAAACTCACATATACACACGTGTGTGGCAAGCAGTGGAAATGTTGATTTTAGTAAAAAAAGAACAAAAAAAAAAAAACCATAGTTTCAAAGGATTATCTGAAGTTTACTTCCAACTTCACTAAACGTGGCGATCTGGCCCTGAGGACAGATTCTGTTGGCAGTGAGAAAAAGCCATCTGCTGCTGTTTAACCCTCCCATAAAAACACATGGAAGAGAAAACGTAGTGTGAATGTGGGAGCATGTTTATGTGTGTGGGAGAAAGAGAGAGGCAGACTCACAGACAACATAACAACCACCAACATCAGGTCGTTTGACTTTAACTTTTACTCCCGTTCATAGATGAAGAAAATAACCTTTTTTAATGGAAACTTATTTCAATACTTCCGGAACCACTTTTCCAGATTTCAAAACTATTTTAGCTTTTGCTAAAGCTTCAACATTTTAGCATCTCTTCGTATCAATTTTTCCCCCACCTGGTATTTAAAGACCTTGAAACAGCAGCTCTTCCAGTTAATGATTGGCCACTGTGGGGAAAGTGTGCACTTACACTGTTGACTCTTATCGCTGCTCACCACAAAGCCACTGGAGCAGTATCTCTGAGGCTGACATTAATGGAGAGGACAGTGCTTCGTTTAA